CTCGAATTGACGAAGTCAGTCTAGAACTGGTGGTATTGTCTGTTGGAGTTGTGGCAAGAGGGGGTATCTTAGAAGGGATTGCCTTAAGCTGAAGAATGACAAGGGTAAAGGAATTAGAGTTGATCCTACGGATGATGTTGCAGCTATAGCTAATGGTAATTCGGATAGTGCTGATTATGTCTTGTCTGTTACTGATTATTCGTCGTTTGATGGATGGATTATGGATTCTGGTTGTTCTTTTCATGCGACACCAAACAGGAACTGGTTTACTACTTATCAGTGCATGGATAGTAGCAAAGTGCAGTTGGGGAATAATGCGAAGTGCAATGTTGTCGGTGTTGGTGATGTTAGAATCAGAATGCATAAAGGTATTGCGATGACATTGACTGAAGTGAGGCATGTTCCAAAGTTGAAGAAAAATCTAATTTCCTTGAGTGCCCTAGATTCAGCTGGGTGTCGGTATTCTTCAAAATGTGGACTTCTGAAAATTGTTCGAGGTGCCTTGGTGATAATGAAAGGAATTAAGCATAGTGGCATGTATGAGCTTCAAGGTGAGACAGTGACGGAATTCGCTGCGGAGACGTCGGATACATCTGTTTGAGAGTCTGAATTATGGCATAAGTGTTTGGGGCACATTAGCAAGAAAAGCCTGAAGGTTCTAAGTGAAAGGAATTTGCTATGTAGTTATGTTGCTGACGAATTGAATGTATGGAGGTACTGTGATTTAGATCAATGACGGAAAGTGCAGTTCAGTATGGTTGTTAGAGAAACCACGAAAATTGCAAAATTGATTCACTTAGATGTTCGCAGGTTGTCACGGTTTCCTTCGAGGAAGAGTGCTAGATTTATGCTAACAGTTATTGATGATTACTCGAGGAAGACTTGGATGTTTGTGCTTAGGCACAAATTTGATGTTGTTGTTAGGATTAGGTAGTTAAAAGCTTTGATCGAAAAGGAGACTAATAAAACGATCATGCAGGTATGAACTGACAATAGTATGGAGTTTTACTCGAAGCTGAAACGAATTCTGCATGAAGGAAGGCATAGTGAGACACCATACTAATGCCAATGAACCACAATATGTTGCGGAGTTGATGAACAGAACATTACTAGAGACGGCCCATAAAATGTTCTAGTGCTAGTATGGCTAGGAGATTTCTAGCGGATGCGCTTAGTACGACCAGCTACCTGAAGAATAGATCCCCATCAACTACAATTGGATATCGGACTCCCGAAGAAGTGTGGTTAGGTAACGTTGCTGATTATTCTATTCTTAGAATATTTGATTGTCTATGTTATGTTTGAGTTAGTGATGGTAAGCTCGATGGAAGGGAAATGAAGTGCATGTTCCTAGGTTATGCACATTGTGTGCGTGGCTATAAGTTGTGGTGCCTGAAATTAAATTCACCTGTTGTTAGCTGAGAAGTTACATTTGACGAGTCTCCAGTACTTATGGCTATGAGTGTTCGTGGCAGTGTTTATACGGATCTGGACGGTGTTCAGCTTGAGGTGGAGTTGCAACCAGAAACTCCTAAGGTAGCGAGTACTAGCAAAGTAATCGACACAAATGGTGTTTGTAGCGAAGTGGAGCCTATAGAACCGACAGTTGCTGTAACTACTGATATTGACAAGGTGCGTATTCGATCTCCTGACAGATATAGATGCAATGATGATTTTGCTTTATCTGCGATTGAGGAGGTTGTGTCGAGAAATCCTTGTGGAGCAGTTAAAGGTGCATGTGGAGTTGGTGTTATGATGAGGTCCACGGCTATGACAAAGTTCAAGTGAAGCTTGAACTTGAAAGACGTCTGTGGCGGTTGAACCCATTGAGAACTATGGGAGAGTAGTAGCGAAATTTAGATTGTATCAAAGCGATTATGACTTTGCTCAAATGTCGAGTCAAGGTGGAGATTGTTAAAATATATCTCGAATTTGAACCCAAAGCAAAAATCTAAATATTTCGAATTGGATATTTTGCGGATGTCCGAAATCGAGCAAAAGGAAATATTGGAAATTTGCTTTCCTAATATGCAAGAGTTGGCAGCAAACAAAAGAAAAGGAAAATAGAAAGAATAAAATATTCTTTCCTAATTCCTGTAGGAGTGACGGTCAACAAAGGAAATTCCAAGCCATGCTTAGTTGACCGAGTCATCCAGATTTCCAAATCCAACTCTGAGTCGGCCACATCCTCTTCCTGACTATACATATAAAAGCGGATTGTGGGTTTCCGAGCGCAGTCGTTAATGAAGAGCAGCGTGGTTCTCATGAAGTCCGTGTCCAGAACGAAGAATTGATTCTTGAAGCGCCGTGCTCAATCGAGCGCTTGGTGTAGGTTTTCTTCGTGGAATCACATCAAGAGTTCAAGTGTTCGTAGCGATTAAATCTTGTGTTAAGATTTGTGTACAATTCCTTCTCGAGATTGAGACATTATTTCATGAGGAATTGTGAGGCTAAACACTGCATGAGTTATCGGATGTAATTGAGGCTTGAGAAACACTTAGAGTATTTGAGTGACTCAAGTGTAGTTGTAATCTCCGTTGTATCGCTTGATCTATAGTGGAATTCCGTGCTGCTCTCTCCGTGGACGTAGGTCACTACGATCGAATCACGTAAATCTAGTATCTGATTTATTTTCTTGTTCTGTCAAATTTATTGTTCGATCGCTTGGCTTCCGCGACAAAACCAAATCCAAGCTTTTGGTTGGAAAGTGAGCAGGTTCAATCATTCTACTTCCTTCCCTCGGTTGGTACAAAAACTCGAAACGCTTTCACAGATGATGAGTCCTCGGGACACTAACACATCCCAGGTGTCCACACGCATGCACTAGAAATCACCTGAGCTGCTGCAAATATCTAGCCACTAGTCAAAGAGAAGTACTGCATGCTAATGTTAATGAAATCTTAAGCACACTGTATATCGCAAGTGATCCGCTGAGCTAATCATAGCAGTCGGATCACCGGACCTTAGAGCACTCAGTAAAAGCAAATCTTATCACTTCGGGTGGTCATATATTCCAAGATCTACCTACCACTTTAAGATCTCTGACCTTTTAATAACCTACTGTATAAAGAGGAGTCAATTACGGGAAGCTAGCGTAGCTTTCTATTCAGTTTAATAACAAGGCGAACTCCAAACACAAAACCTTAGAGTGACATGACATCAAATGATGGATCCGGGGCAAAACCTTTAAATATATGTTCTTCTGTAAGAGGTAGTTAAATATAATTGTCATAGAGATCAAACGTTGCCACTTGTACCACTACAGGAAAAAGATGTTACAAATATCCTACGCACGCGTGACAGTCAAAAAAGCTATTGCAGATAGAGCGCAATACCGTTGAGTCCTTTAGCATTAGATTACTTAGGCCGAAAAGATTTGCCATTCATAGTTCAAGGAACGTATAAATGTTGATCAGGAGCCACCTGTCGTCCATTCATGTGGGAGGCACAGAACATTTGTGCCATGATAGGTCGCTAAGCGGATGAGTTCACATTGCCCTCTCGACGTTTGTGCATGCCAAAACTGATAAAAGGGGAGTCTTAAATGACAAACGTCTAAACACCTACGGAAGAGATTTGAAAACCTCTTTAGAAGCTCAAATATATGGTGGGATGGTTGCGTGAAAGAGGAAGAGAAAGTTTGTAATACGTAAGTCTGGCAGAAAATATTGATGGTGAGAGCTTAAAGTCATATATGTTGCCTTGGCCAATTCAACGTTGGCAGGAGATGAACCCTCTTTAAGTTTCTGTCGTGATAATGGAGTCCGACTTCTTGCTTGCGGTGCACCCCAACCGAGGGATCTCTTTTAGTTGCATTTGGCAACTTGTCCATCCAAAGCTCTAGGAATAGAGTCGGAGATCGAAGACCTGTACGGGACGGTAACCTGTCTCGGTTCTATGCTTTGAATCCATGCATGGGAGATCACAGACCACCCGAAGAATGAAAGAGAAGGCGGCTAAGCTTGACTTGTGTTGTACGAGCGATGATGAAGGTCTACCTTGGCAAATTAGAGTTACTTTGACCTAAGCAAATACAAACATAGGCACATCTTTTCGACCGGGGGATAGTTTTTCTTTGGTCCTTGTAGGACCGGAGAAAAACTATTATTGGATACCGAGGACTTAGAGAATTTCCTAAGTCTATATAGAAAGTATCTTCGGCCCTTTCCACAACAACTAATTCGATTTTCTGTCGAGTTATCCAATCTAATTCACGATCCGGTAATTAAACACTACATTAGTAGTGGAAGGGAATCAATAAATCTTTATATGAGAGCTGATAAAGGTTTATTTATTGCTCTTTCTTGATGGTATTCCTGAGCTCTCTCCTATTCTGACTTCCCCGAACCGCTACTACAAATAGTACTACACCTTTGATCATGAAATATCAAGTGCTTGTTAAACCCCGTGAATTGTGTGAAAGTAGGATACTCCAAATTCGGGAGTCCAAGAGTTTTATAAAACGTTATTGGTGGAAAAAAAATGTGAATGAAAGATCCCACGGAATTGAATTGGGTCCATGAACCTAAGAAATAGTGAGAATTCTTGATCTCTCTCAATATCTCTTGGCTGCTCACTCAGTAGTGGTCTCACCGTAGCGCGCACAACTCATCCGCTGATTCTTCAACATCAGTCGATTTGCCTACTTGCTACATCAAAAACTAAATCACAAGCTCATTACAATACTTGATTCTAAAGGTTCTCATAAAGACCAAAAAAATCTGTTTACAATTACAATATTGTCTGGATGGAGCCCTGACTTGAGCATTGTATCCTGTTTTTTACGTATCCATACGATTGAGTCCTTGGGTTTTCCAAATAGTGTATAAATAAAAAAATTGCTTCAAATCGTTGCTATACGACAGACCTGTTTTAAAAAAGTCGATCTTTTTGGGAATCATCTGATTAGGTGTTGATCTTTCGGGTGCACAATCTGTCTGTGCTACACCGCCCAACCAATTATTGGGTGATCAGACTCTTCGTCATGGCCAAGACGGAGCGGTCTTTCTTCTCCTCTCTATATAAATTGCATGGCCTGCGTAACTAGAGTTCACAGCATGGCTCATCACTGAGGGGTAGAGACAGAAGTAGGACATCTCGTGTTGAGCTCTGAAACCTTTCATTTTCAGATATTCCTTCAGTTGAGCTTCCACCCTTGTTTTTCTGAGAAGTAGAGAGAGGGACGATGGCCATTTTCTCGACCGATAAACCCTGGGTTTTTGCTTTTGGCCTCTTAGGTATATACTTTTAGCCAGACATGATCGAACTCGTAATCTCACTTTGTTTCTTCCTCCAACTAGAGTTAACATGTACATTATAAGTTGTGCCATCACTAAACCCTCTCTCATTAAGATTTTGTTTCTCTCGTAAGGGCATGGACTGATTCAATTGTCATCTTTTTTTATAATTCTTTGTCCCAGGTAATCTCATATCTTTCGTGGTCTTCTTGGCCCCAGTGTAAGCTCATCCTCTTGATCAACTTTTTGTTTAGCTTAACAGATGGGTCTGGAAGTATGAACGACTAATTAATAGGGCTCTTGCAATTCTTTCTTTGTTTATGTTGGCAGACCAACATTTTATAGGGTATGCAAGAGGAAGTCAACCGAAGGGTTTCAATCAGTTCCGTACGCGGTGTCTTTGTTCAGCGCCATGCTCTGGATATACTACGCAACCCTCAACTCCGAGTCCAACAATTTCCTTCTCATCACTGTCAACTCAGTGGGATGTGTCATAGAGACCATCTATATTGCTCTCTACCTTGCTTATGCTCCTAAAAAAGCCAAGGTACGTACTTACCTGTCTGATCACATATATATGATAGCGTCACTATTCATACACGGTTGATATGTAACAGCATATGTTGTAAAAGTAGGTTTTCTAATGATAAATGTGTGCATGCATTCGTGCAGATTTTTACACTGAAGTTGATGGTGATGAGCTTTGGAGGGTTTTGCTCCGTTCTTCTCTTGTCCCGCTTCTTACTAAAGGGATCAACAAGGGTCCAACTTCTTGGGTGGCTTTGTGTTGGATTCTCCATCATCGTTTTTGCAGCTCCTTTAAGTGTTATGGTAAATAATTGAAGTAACTCTTGATTCCTTACTTTTCACTTTTCCCTAATTATATATTTTTCTTCATGCACAATGCTACTCAGTTATGCGAGACAAGCTTTGCATGACGTTTATTTTCGACGAATATTCTGCAGAGAATGGTGATACGCACCAAAAGCGTAGAGTTCATGCCCTTCTCTCTCTCATTTTTCCTCACGCTGAGTGCGGTAACTTGGCTCCTCTACGGTCTATTCCTCAAGGACATCCACGTTGCGGTACGCATCTGACTTTCTGCAAATCCTAGAAATTATGCTAAAAAGAGTTTTCTATTACCCAAAGGAAAAAGTTTATCACAGAGACGACGGTTTAGATATCACTTTATTTTCTGATATACACTCATTAACGTGACTGTGATCGTTATGTAGGTTCCAAACATATTGGGGTTTATCCTTGGAGTGCTTCAGATGGGATTGTATCTGATATATAGGAAGAGGAATGTGATGGTTTTGGAGGAACCCGGTTATTTCAATGGTGCAAAGCCGATTGCCGGTACTCAAAGTTGCAATATCGCCTCTAATGACAGCATCATCGATGTTTATGATGTCAAAGAGAGGAAAGATGATGTACACAAGGGTGAGAAAATCTTTGAAGCTTCCGATAATGGACCCGTGGTGAATAATTCATGTGAAGTTTGACACGGGTTAAGTCGCTGCATATGCCTCCGCTGTTATTTTTCTAGTAGCAAGTGAAGCTAAATTTAGTTCGTTCTTCTCTGTTGTTACTGCACGCGTCTTAACTTGAATGTGCAAGTGGCGATTAAGAGCGCGCGCATAAATGCTCCAGAAATGCAATGTTTTGTCTAGCAATTATAATCTTTCTGGTCTCTTTCCTCTCGTAAATGAACTCATTCTACTGTCTCTTTGATCCATATTTTGAACAAATATATCTAGGTCGCTTTGTCTCAAATTAGAAATGGTATATTGGCCTCGATTCACTTATGAAGATCATGATTTGCGACCTGAATCGAAATCCGCCGTGAAAGATGCTCGTCATAATAGACAGTTTGAACCATCCATACTTCCTTCGAGCTAGGTAAACTTAACCCATCTACCTCCTTGAAAAGCAGAGAAGCCCACTCTTTGGAAGACTAATAATCAACATATCACCATCGGCGTCATTTAGTGAGGAACATTTCAGTAAAAGTTCATGGATGCACGTTCTCTATGTGTAGGAGTCATCATCTGGTATGAGATTACCAAATACAAAAAGCCTGGCACAACTTCCATCCGGGCCTCTCATTCTAGCCCAGAAATAGGGGGCTTGAAATTAATTTTCGTGACATTGTGTATGCGTATGGTCTCACCATTTATATGTATAGGTATTTTTCTTTGATCAAAGTTAAATGTATATTATATTATATTATATATAAACGCGCGCACGCACATAGTAATCCATTGTACTTCTTTAAGAATGACATAGCTTTGTAACATTGAGGCAATATCTACTCATCAATCTGTGAAACTTCCATAGTTTGGTCAGGTACTTGGGTGCCAATCGAGTTGATGTTGAGCCAAGCTTGGATCGAGTCACCACTACAGCAGAGTTCATATGCCCCAGCATTTTATTTCCAGCCTTTCCCTAATCGCTGGTAATAGTGATTTAATGACTCAATTGATGGCATTAATAACAGCATAGATGGACATCAATAACATATTTAGCACCATTTAGTGCACAAATGCCACTATTAGTCAATGTTTTTTTCCACCATACACGATGAATACCGCCAAAAGTTTTGCCGACACCACTTTTAACTACATTTGAGTGAAATGGGCAACATTTCTAAATGTTGGGAAAAAATCTTGGAAATGTTTAATTTATTGTAGGGCAAGCAAGTCAGTGCTCGAAACTTCACACGAGCTCGATCGGGTATTAGAGTTTTACCCAGCTCGGCTTAAACTTAAAGGTGATAGATGCTCGAGGTTGACTTGTCTCGGATGTGGACTACAATGTTGTTATAAAGAAACTCGATCTTTTAGAGCTTCATATAGCTCGAATATTTTCCTTGGATTTTCATATATGTGTGGATGTACTTTGTAACCTTAAGGATCTCTGTATTTGATTCTATCACAATTATAATGGCAAGCTTGAGCTCGACTCAATAAGAGGTTCAAGTAGACTCTTCGAGCTCGACTCTAAATCAATCAAGTTGATTTAACCAAGTAATATATCATCGAACCGAGGCCAAGTTACGTACTGGCGAGTAACTTGACTCGGTGTATATTGACGAACACAAGGCTTGGGGATGATTCCTATCTTGCTTGGGCAATACTTTCTTCCACCCTCGGCCGGAGAAAGCTTTGTTCAATCTAACTTCTTGGTGGTTACAAAGATGGACATTTTGACCTAAGTTTGTATGGAGGTCTTTTCTCATGGTACTAATTCGGAGATTTGCTTCGGAAATGATCCAATTAGAGCGCAACAAGAAAGTAACACGCTATCGGCAACTAAGAGGAAAAGACGCAAAACTAAGCACATTGGTAGGCTACCTGTTGTCTAGCCGCCTAAATTTTCATTTACAATAAGGTTAGACACGAGAGAATTCTCGTACGGAGATGGCCGTTCGGTATAAGGGTAGGCACGACCAAGATTATAAAATGTTGTGAATTTTGGTAAACCAGCTAATTGGATCCAAATATGAGTTATGGGCTAACTAGGATATACTAACTGTTCTACACCATACCAATTCTTCGACATGAGATTTATCTGACACAAAAACTCACACGTTGATCCTAACACTTCGCACCCACGGTCGCTTCAAAAGTTAAAACCCTTTTTTCGCAAATCAACGACTCGTCCATTAATTTGGACAATGATACAACTACCAATCAGAACATTCACACAAGCACGAACAACCCCACTAGAGATATCGCCTGCATTAGCATAAATATCTAAATCCAAAAGCGAATCGTGTACCAATTGCCAAATTAAATATGATACGCCCATGATTACATAAAGGTAGGATCATCGTTAGAGACTTTTGTCAGCTCTTATCCCTTCAAGTGGCCATTTTATAATTCCACACTCAACCTCAGACCTACCCACTTTAGAGAGCTCTCCAGCTATTTGGTGCACGAAACTTCAAATGCAAATGCCATCAAATGAATCTGGGAGAAGAGTTATGTGTCGAAGGGCAGATACTGTATGTTCTCGTATGAGACGTATATTACCAAAGCAAGCAATCGGCGATAAGATTTATGCTGACATCACGTTCAAAAAGGTTTCTTGATAGAGGGCAATAATACCCATTAGTTAATGCTTTGATTAGCCATATGAAACGACATGAAACCCAAATGATTTGCCATAAATAGTGAAAAAGGGATAAGAAGAGCATGACTGTCATAATTTTCGTATGGTGCTCATTTGAGTATTATAATTATTTTTTTCGCTCATATAGAGGCCACAAATTTATGAAAATCAATCATTTAAGTGTCAGTGTGATTTTCCTCACCAAATATTCGATATGAATGCCTATCGACATACGTGGCATTGCCGACGTTGACGTTGATAATTTTTTTAATTTTTAAAATTTTTCTTTTGCTTTTTTTCTTCGTTTTTTTTCTGCGCCAACTGCAAAGGTCTCGCCGACCATGGGCGACGGCATGAAGGCCCTCACTAGATCAGAGCTAGGGTCTTCGCAGCCTCGTTGGCAAAGGCCTTTACGCCCTCGCCCACAGCAGCAGGGCCACAAAGGCCCTCACTCACCATTGGCGATGGCCTCACCTAGGGCCTTCACAACCCCACCAACCGAGGAAGAGCTGGCCATTGACCAGTTTGGGCAAGGCCCTCACAGCCAACGAGGGTTGTCAGTGACCCTTGCCGACACAAGGAAAAAAAAAAGCAAAGAGAGGAAAAGAAAATTAAAAAAATTAGAAAAATCCAAGTGGAAACAGAAAATTAAGCGTAGAACGATTTGCCTAAAATGTCACTCAAATGATCGATTTTATTTTAATATGACACTTAATTGAATAAAAAAAATAACATTTATATGAGCGCCGTATGAAAATTAAGCAGTCCTGCTGATCTTGTCCCTAGCGAAAAAGGGAAGTGCAAATTGATCCGGACTTGGGTTCGGCAAACCACCTGTCATCCATTTTTGTGGAGGGAGGGATGTACGGAAGATGGGTGGGGATGATAGACGTCACCCCATGGATGTATGGATCAATGTTATCTTCTCTTGACGTCTGTCCATTGCCAAATTCCAAAGCTGGCCAAATGGAGATCCAGCTGTGACCCTGATTCATCCCAATCCCTCGACCTTTAGAGTCTACATCGATCCACCTGAGATTTACTTTTCTGGATGACCATCGCTGATGATTGTATAAAACGTTGTAAATTAAGTTTTCTTAAAAAAATTTCACTCAAGAAGAAACATATGCCACACCATATCTAGTTTGTCTTATTTTTAGTAAGTAAGATTACTCTGTGGATGAAGGCATGTCTATATGTAACATCAATATATAATCAGTATATAATTAATATGGATGAAGACAATATAATCAATCTCTTGTGAGGAAACAACGATAATTGAAAGGAAAATGTAATTTCATCCATGTCAGGTGAGATTAACAAAAACATGCAATGCTAAATGTTACGTTACTGAGCCACAGCAAGAATAATTTGAACTCATTACTTGATTATTTGCAGCTTTCAATTCACTATAATTTCTAATTAAAATTAAGTTTGTGAGAAATTTTGTTGTTGTTATTGTTATACTCCTCACCCTATTTTACGGGGGAGATCTTCTTGTGACTAATATTTTCTTTCCATATAAATATTTCATAGTATATGAATAAGAATTTTGGTGAAGAGGTCGTGGCCTCGTGTAGTTTCCTTTCAGGAAAAGTTATTGTATGGTCTATAGAATCATAGAGAGATATCATTCCACATGATCCATATAAATCGTGGAGAAAATTTCAATTAAGGACCTCAAGTGGGGTCAAATTCTCAAAAAATGGTCCAAAGTGAACATTGTGTCAAATAAGGGCCTGAAGTGCTCAATCAGTCTCAAATAATGACCCGAAATGCCCAAAAAGTCTCAAATAAGAACCTGAGTCCCCGGCCGGCCAAAATACCTGCCGGCGGCGAGGAAGTTACCGTTCCGGCATTGGAACAGTAACTTTTTAATTTTTTTATTATTTTCTTTCTGTTTTTCCTTTTATGTTTTTTTTCTTTTCCTTTTCCTTTTCTTTTTTTTTTCTTTTCTTCCTCCGCCGGCCATAGCCGGGGCCGGCGGAGGTCGCCAGTCTCAGGCGAGGCCGCCCTCGCCGGCGTCGGGCTAGGGCCGCCCTCGCCGGGCCGTGCGAGGTCGCCCTCGCCGGCCTCGGGCGAGGCCGCCCTCGCCGGCGTCGGGAGAGGGCCGCCTCGCCCGGGCCGGGCGAGGTCGCCCTCGCCGACCTCAGGCGAGGCCGCCCTCGCTGCGGCGTCGGGCGAGGGCCGGCCTCGCCTCGGGCCGGGAGGCCGGCCTCGCCGGTTGCCGGCGAGGTCGAGCCTCGCCATCCGGGCGAGGGCTCAACCTCGGCCGGCCGCGAGGCCTGGCCGCTAGCTTGCAGTGCGAGGTCGAGCCTCGCCCGGATCAGTGTGGGCTTGGCCCCGCCGGCCGCTGGCGAGGCTCGACCTCGACGGCGTCGGGCGAGGCTGGCGAGGCCGAGCCCTCTCTCTCTCCAGCCTCGAAGTTCGTCCGGTCGAAGCGGTGGGAGGAGGAGCAGGGCCTCTTCCAAGGACCCAGGGCCTGCATCGCCGCCTTGAGCAGCATCGAGAGGAAGCGATTCCAGACGATCTTCGACTTTGCTTCGACCGGACGAACTTCGGCGTCGGGCGAGGCCGGCGAGGTCGAGCCTCGCCAGCGGCCGGCGGGGCCGAGCCCTCGCCAGATCTGGCGAGGCTCGACCTCGCCTGCAACTGGCGAGGCCGGTCTCGCCCGACGCCGATGAGGTCGAGCCCTCTCCAGATCTGGCGAGGCTCGACCTCGCCGGCAACCGGGCGAGGCCGGCCTCGCCCAACCCGAGCGAGGCGGCTCTCGCCCGCCGCCCCAGCGAGGCGGCCTCGCCCGACCCGGTGCCGGCCTCGCCGAGGGCGGCTCGCCCGGCCCGGGCGGGCGGCCTCGCCGGACTCCGGCGAGGCGGCCTCGCCTGAGGCCGGCGACCTCCGCTGGCCCCGGCTATGGGCGGCGGAGGAAGAAAAGAAAAAAAAAAGAAAAGGAAAACGAAAAGAAAAAAAAACACAAAAGGAAAAACATAAAGAAAATAAAAAAATTAAAAATGTTCTTGTTCGGTGCCGAACAAGAACTTTCTCGTCGGCCGGCGGTATTTTGGCGGCCGAGGACCCAAGTCCTTATTTGAGACTTTTTGGGCACTTCGAGTCCTTATTTGAGACCGATTGAGCACTTCAGCCCTTATTTGACACAATGTTCACTTTGGACCCTTTTTTGAGAATTTGACCCCACTTGGAGTCCTTAATTGGAATTTTCCCTAAATCGTGCAATAACTTCTCCCTTCCTAGAGTTTCCCACAATAAAGTGAAAAAAGAGAGGAAAGATGAGTTAAAGGCATGCATAACAAGATACGACACTGTACTCAAGAATTGAAAATACAAGAGTCATTTACTTTACGACAAGGTCATGTGCGACTAAGTTGAAAACAAGCCGTGATTACTTTTAAGAGAGTTTTACACGTACTTCGCCAATTTGTAGCCCTCTTATACTGAAACATATGTTGATTAGTGACATTTGTTGCCCCATGATTCCTTCCTTTCACATTGATCAAATACATCGTCATAAGTGTATGAAATTGATATTTGTAAGACTAGGTTTTCTGAGAATATGGTATTAGAAAGTGACATAGCAGATTGTAAGTGTGCATTTTAAACAAGCAGGTCACGGTCAATAAATATAATATCTTATCACTTAATATATTAATTACGTGAAATCAATTTTAGTTTACTGAGCACATATAAATCCTTTGTCCAAATTGCATTTAGGTTATGTAACTTAAGTTCAACAGGAGTGGTCACGTGATCAAACGGGGTGAAATATTTTGGCAGCGAAGCACACGTAACTTTAGGACCTAGAAAGTATCGAATATAGAATTATGCCTTGATAAAGGTGCTGGCTTACGGGCGCACAATCACCTACGCCATACCACCTGCAATTATTAGGCAATCATTATCTCCATTAACAATATTAAAAGGTATTATGATTATCACCATAATTGGTATACTAAATGACGTGAGAAGTTCCTATCAAATGCTAATACATGACTCTACTTATTTAAATACCACTTGTTTAAATATTAGATTACAATCATTACATCACTTAATCAACGAGAGAATTGTCTAAAAAGTCCTCAATTCATTGTACGGTAACCAATCATTCCTAAGCCTTTCGATTTCAGCAAATGTAGTCCTAAATATTTTGACGATTTTCCAATTAGTCCATCTGGCCAATTTATGCTGGAAAACCATTGACATAACGGTTTAGTCAGCGCTAGGCTGGTAGCTGACGAAGACGGATCTTAAACGAAACGATATCGTTTTGCATTGAATCAAGAATTTTTGAATTTTTTTATTTTCTTTTCTATTCTTTTATCTATTTTTTTTTCCTATTTGATTGTTCATCTTTTTCCTCCGCTGGGCACAAGCGAGGGTCATAGCCCTTGCCAAATCAGGGCAAAGGCCATTGGCCACAAGCTAGGCTCATCCCTGCCAGATTTGGCGAGGCCGCAACGCCCTTCTGAGGGGTGACCTGCGATGCCCTCGCGAGGGGTGGCCAACGCAAGGGTCACCCTCGCCTGTGGCCGGCGACCTTCGCAGACCATCATCACCAAGGCTCTGACAACCGGCGAAGAAAAAAGATGAATAATAGGATAAGGAAAAAGAAAAAAGAAAGAAAAGGAAAAAAAAAGACAATTTTAAAAAGAAAATTTGCCAAATGACAATGTGTTAAGATCATCCACGTCAGCCGCCGGGCGTGCTACATAGAACAACTGGTACTTACTGGACTGCCATGTCAGCAATTTCCAACCTAAATTGACCTGAGGGATTAAATTTAAAATTCGTCAAAAGGTTTAGAACTACATTGACCATATTAAAAAATTTAGAACTTGATTGGTGGCCATATAATAGGTCGAGGACTCTTTGGACAATTCTCTCCTCAACCAGCCACCATCATAAATCATTCTATATTCTAGCATAACTTTGCCTTCCATCTCCTCTATAAATTGCAAGGCCAAGGCCAACATGAATACAATTTCCACAACATAGCTTTATTTGTTTTCAGCTTCGAAATCTTCCATTTGAATATCTTCAGTCTTGAGAGGAAGAGAGTGGTGGGACAATGGCCATCTTCAAGACTAAAAATCCATGGGTTCTCACTTTTGGAGTTCTAGGTACTTTACACACATTATTCAACTGTTTTCTAGTTACTGTCAAACCACAATAAATGACTTGTTTTGACGCGTTTGTCAACCTTTGGATGATTCCTTGTCGTAGGTAATATCATATCCATCGTGATCTTTTTGGCCCCAGTATAAGTTTTAACTCTTTCTCACTCCATGCACGCTAACAACATAAGGTTTGGACTTATTTAAAATTCTTTGGCAGGCTAACATTTTATAGGGTATGCAGGAGGAAATCGACTGAAGGGTTTGAATCAGTTCCATACGTGGTTTCTCTGTTCAGCGCCATGCTTTGGCTCTACTATGCATCCCTCAAGTCGGAGTCCAGCGCTTTCCTACTCATCACGGTCAACTCGGTCGGATGTGTGTAGAGACCATCTACATTGCTCTCTACCTTGCTTATGCTCCTAAACAAGCCAGGGTACGTACTTACAGCGTTGTTCGCGAGGAACACACCTCATGTATTTTAATTGTTGGAGACTGGATGCAGATGCTGACACTTAGGCTGCTGATCCTGCTGAATTTGGGAGGGTATTGTTCCATTCTTCTTCTGTCCCACTTCTTGGCAAAGGGATCGACGAGGGTCCAACTTCTTGGGTGGATTTGCGTTGTGCTCTCCATTGCAGTCTTCGCCGCTCCTCTAAGCGTCATTGTAATTTACTACTATGTAACTCCTTTCTTTTTTCTGCAGTAAAATGCATGTCTTGCGTATTAATGTGTGACACAAGTTGTGCATGACATGCATTTAGGTTTCGACATACATGTGAGTTTGTATACGTGCGTGCAGAGAATGGTGATACGCACCAAGAGCGTAGAGTTCATGCCCTTCTCTTTATCATTCTTCCTAACGCTCAGCGCAGTGACATGGCTCCTATATGGCCTATTCCTCAAGGACTTGTATGTCGCGGTATGCATTGTTCATCTACTTGTTCAAATCAAGATGGCGAGGTGTGGCAACATTATTTTCTTTCCCCGGAATGAAAAATTTATTTATGTGTGCGTGCATGTATAGGGTCCAAACGTGTTAGGAGTCATCTTTGGAGTGCTTCAGATGGCACTGCATGCCATATACAGGAAGGGGAATATGATTGTGATGGAAGAGGAGAAGAATGATACCAGTACTGGGAAGCTGAGCTCTGATCCACAAAGTTGCAATGCGCATGCCATTGCCTCCCACATTGATACCGTCGTCTTTGACAAGGACAAAGAGAAGCGCAAGAGAAGCTTCATCGTCTTTATTGAAGCTTCTGATAAAGGACCAGTGGCCACTCCATCTGAAGTTTGACAGGCGTTCAAGTTACTCAAATGCCTGATCAGCCTTTTTTTTCCAGCAGCTCCTATCTAGATTACTCGTTGCTTCTGCTATGTAAAATATAAATGGAAGCGAGTGCATACGTGCGCGTGCTTGGGCGGGTGGAGTGTTGTCTGTGAATGTTTACCTCGTTTTTGTTGATACTCTCCGTTCTTTGCTGATTGGTTGATATCATATACTTACCAGGTCATGAGGTCCACCCGCTCATGATGCATATTTTTCCTTTGAAATCCAGCTAGTTAGGATCTTGAGCTAATATTCGAGACACTCTGGGAGATCTTTTTACATTCATTCAGTAATTTGCCTATTCATCAGAATATATCTGTGGTCACATAATGCGTGCCCTGAGATGACATTTTAAGTTCAAGTTTGCTCAAGTGGGTAAAAAACTCACCAAGGATAGCATGTACCATTAGGCCCAGATCCTACCGGACCGTCAACCCGTTATTACACAATATCATAGTTAAAAACTACTCTTAGCACACCATAGATATCCCTTATACTCTACTGAGAGATCAGAGGAACTTCCCCCTAAAGGAAAGTAAACAGTAAGTAGTTCCTCAATCAGACTGCCAATAAAAGAATTGAGTCGCAGCAAAATGTTTCTTCTGTCAAGCGGGATCAACAGTCAATTCTCATCCCACAAACATGAAGGACTTTAACTAGCAATTTCATCAATAAGGAAGCTCTCTTCTCTACGACCTATGAGCATGCACTCGGCAGACAACACTATTGTGTTAGCCGAAACAATTTGCAGGCTTGCAATTGCCTCTCACTGTATCAGATTCTTTCAAGGCTCTTTCGAAAAGTAAATAGCTGCATTACTGTAAACTTGCTACAATTTTAGAGCAAATTTAGAGAACAGCCTCGAGATGAAAATTTGGAATGTTCTCAGGCTAGCTAAGGGATGCCCAATCTGGATATGGGCACTCATAGATCCATCCGGGTCCAGAATATCGTATGCAGTGTAGCCACAATCCCTCCTCATTCCCATCATATCTGCATTTTGCAGAAACTCAGAAATCAAATCTTAGGTTCTCTTACACACTCAGGCAAGGGTGTGCAAGCAAGAATATGTGCAAAGACAAGTGCCCAAGATGGGAAAGAGGAGGAACACTCACCCTTTTGGAGCTAAATTTGGACAATTCGTGCACATAGGGTCAGCACTAAATTCAATGCAAGGCTGCTCTTCCTTTTCATTCTGCCAGGTATCAGTTACACTGGATTCTGATGACAAACCAGGAGCCTTATCAGCAACCATTCCTTCAGCTGAACGATTGGTCCTTTGTTCAGAAAGGTAAAGCATGTCATTGGCAATTGGATGGCCACTAAACTGCAAATGGACTCGTATCTGCACATAACGAGCAGGGTTGAGAGAAGAAAGTACTGCAAGTACTAGCATATATCAAATAAACCTCACACATTAAAAGGTATCAAAAACAGGCTGACTTAACCAAATCCAGAGTCTGACCAAAAAAAAAAAAAACCAAATCCAGTGAGGTATATTATAAGCAGGATCCAAAAGTATCTTACAAAATGAGCAGGACAGGGTTTATGGTGGGACAAAAGTGCAGAAAAGAAGGCACATATAACTCAAAAAGTTAACAGTAAATGCAATGTCCTTCCTGTATGTGTGGGTACATCTATGCATGCATGTAATTGACCTTAGGCTACATTCAGGCAAAACAACCAAGGAAGGTTCACTGCTTATGGAATAGAAAAAAGAAGTATCAGACTCTCTACATGATTATTTGCATCCTTTAGCAGCATGTTGCCTTACCTGATGAGTTCTTCCAGTGACTGGTTCACAGAGAACGATGCTATGAGTTCCATTGGTGCTGATCCTTGTGAACTTTGTACTGGCGGCCTTTCCTTTCAAGAGGGCAGTGTCACAAGTAGTGTCCCCTGCCTGTACAAACAGATGATATTGATCAGATTAATCGCATTAAGCACATTCTTACATTCACTGCCAATTCTCTAATGTACTGGTTGAAATTAAGACACGATTATGAAACAGTCAGGGCAGATGTTTCTAAAATGTAGAAGAAAAAGAAAGCTCTAAGAGAGGTCACACATTACGACACACCATGCCACGTGGATTAGGAGAAGGGTGGCAGATGACTACCTACCACAATTTTTAATTTCCTTGGAGATTAGAAAGCCTTTATATGACGACTCATCCATATAAAATCCAAATCACATACTATTGCATCTCAATGAGCTCGTAAAGTGACACAGCATATGTGCTAATAAATAGGGAAACTGTGGCTTCTTGCTTATGGCTGGCAGTATCTTAGATTTGTTGATTCATTTACCGAGGCTCACAGATTTTGCATCAGCCAGCACTATGTCACGAGCTCAGAGCTCTAACTTCTGACAAATTTAGTTTGGATTACCATCACACATCACTTCTCAATTCCATTTCAAAAAGCGTGTTGTGCATCACTTACATAACGGTCCACCGTGGCTCATAAATATATGTATGTTCCTAAAAAGTGTTGAGAGGCCATCATAAATGGAAATCTACAAAAACTATATAATTATTTTTACATGCTTCTGTAAGAATGTTAAGAAAGGGCATTAGCTTCCAATTATAGCACTCTGATAACATTCATAATCACATCCCAAAATGAACTCATATTGATTAGTCACAAAAGCCTTCCTTCGCGAAGAAAAGGAGAGCAAAAAGAAATAAAGGAGAAGAAATAAATACACATGGCGGCATGACATAATATTCATTGAAAAGCATTATCAAAAAGCCATCATTTCAAGACCCTTCTCCAACGCTCAGATGCTCAGTTTCATTTCCATGGCCTCACGTAAAACAATGATTGATATCAATGTAAACTCAGAAAAAGGTTTTTTTTTTTTGGTCAGAAACTCAGAAAAATGTTGAAATAACAAGGTTTTGAGCAGATACTCACTTCCACTGTGCTCCTTCCTTCTCGAGCATTGTAATTGACGTTGGCATTGACCTCCAGCTGACAAGAAACCCCAGAACACATAAATCAGATGAGAACTACTAAGAATGCATTTCTGATACCACATTCTCTAGAACTTTTTCAAACGATCTAACGAGCCTCCAGGATCTTCTGATGAGCAGGACCTGAAAGAAAAGGACTAATTGACTGTGTTCTTAAATAAGTAGACCTTCCTTGGGTTTGATAAAATGATATGGGAAACCACAGCTGGATCTTCCAGTAATAATAACTGAAGATGCCACCCGAGATGTGCATTTGATTTTTAACAACTAACCCTGTCACACAGACTTGTCCTTTCAGTGTTACCTCTTCTCAAGAAAACTCAACAAACAAACAGAAATAGTCGAAATGGAAAAAAGAAATCACATTGCTATATTAGGTACATCTACTTCAACATCTCATAATTCCAATTCTTCAGGGTTAAACTCCTTGATGTAGTACGATACTGCAGGATTTTTCAACTCTTAAATTATCCACTTTGAGTGCATATTCAAAAATCACCAGATTGAAGCAAGAGATACCTTATTCTCAGGAAACTCACCCACCACCTTTGCAATGTACTGTTTCTGCAACAAACCACCTTCAATCTGAAGAAATTAAATGTCAGTTGAAACTTAAATTGTAGGCCAAGTATCATGTGTACCTTGCTACATCATGAATATGACTTATTAATAGTATATAGTAGGCCTAATTCCCAAAAAAAGCACCAACTTTACCTTGAGTAACAATTCTGGCCCGAATTTTTCTTGTCTCATAAAAATCACCAACTTTCACATAAATTCCAAATCTAGCCCGAACAATTTGAAAATTACACGTCATGGGGGCCAGATTTGGGACTCGAGTAAAAGTTGGTGCTTTTTATCGAGACAAAAAAAAGTTTGGGCCATAATTGTCGTGCAAGGTAAAGTTGGTGCTTTTTTTTGGAATTAGCCCTATATAATAGGCTATTCTAGATAATTTTTACTTGAGGGAATGAAGTCAGTAGCAGAAATAGTACGTGATGGCACTACTGGTATTAGGAGAAACAGTCACCAGACACGGATTAGAACGCTACAGACTTTAGATATATACAAAGGAAATGCACATCACAGAAAGAAACTATAAGACCTCTTTAAGTCACTCAATATACTAAATGTACATGACACAGTGTGGCAATATTACAAATGATGAACAAGATGTCATAACACAGCAGAATGCTCAGAGAACTACCACTACCCTTGCTGTAAATGTAAGAGAGCCCCACTTCCATTTAGACAATTGATCACCCACACAGTATTGCAGCTAATAGGAACTTACAATGATTAAAGGTTCCAAAAGCATGCTTTTCAATACGACACTCACCTGTTGCCTGAAAAGATCTGCTTTCGATGCGTTTCTGGCAAATATAAGGAGTCCAGAGACAAGGCGATCTAGTCGGTGAACAGCTTGCATTATAATATCAAGGAGGACATACGAAATCCATAATTTGGATGTGACACCAAATATAAGTCAGAGGAGGGAAAAAGGAGTTAATGACAGACATCAAGAATCACAGGGAAACAGAATATGCCCAATTCGATTTCGATTGAGCCGAAAATGCATATGCATGTGAAAGAGCTACTTAGGATACGAAATAGGGGTGCCAGCCCATGCTCTGCCTGAAGGATGCCAACCACAGTGTTTTTACGATACTGACCACATGGATGCACCTACAAACAAGTTGAAATTTCTATAAACATAGATCCCATAAGACCAACAAAGATAGCTAGGCCAAGCAAGGCTGCTGTAAACGTATTACTGTCTGAATCTCATCAGTCATTTTACAGCACTGATGCAAATCCACACGAATTCATCAAATTCATTCTTTTGTTGTTCATTTGAAATGAGGAAAAACATAATTGTGTTGCTCCTTACTGGAATAGATGCTGGCTTACAAACAGTCACCACATCCGGTTCTTTGTGTAGGATGGAGACATTATGGCTCATCACAGGAGGCTCGTGCCTACAACCTTATCAAGATTAACACAAATTCAAAGAATACCCTAAAACTTCTAGAAAAAACTGTACATTAAGATCAGAATTCTCGACTCCTGAATGAACAAAGAATAAAGAAGCATGAAGAAACAAAAGGTAAAGAAAGAGAATCTAAGTAAAAGAAACTGATGCAGCCAAAGAGATATATCATTGCTAGATTAGACTCTTGAATAGCAACGTCTCATAAAGAGATCATAGCAAGCGTAAAGCTCAAACCCACCTGTGTACAAAGTGGCTTATTTTTTCAGACGTTTTTACAATGTAAGAGACAGGAACGACCCTCCCCTCGACTTGTATCCGTCCACATTCGACAGCACTGACCTACAGGTTATGACTACGCATGGTTAAAAGTCATGATCACACGCAGAACTAAACATTCGTTATGCAATGAAGAAAATGCTTACATAATACTCATAAGGTCTGCCTTTGAACTCGTGGGCAAACAAATCCACAATGGTTTTGCCAGCCCAGCGACTCTTAACCTATACACATCATAATTCATAACAAGAAAATTAGCCAAACTGAGAGCTCAAAGATCGAAGCATAAAAGGGCTCAACGAGGGTCTTCATCAAATAAAAGTTTGATCACAAGTGAAGTACGCAAACCACTCCACTCCACTCCCAGAAGAAGAAAGACGAGATAGCGACGACTCACGTGAGAGATGAACTCGAAGTGGTAGGGCGTGACGTAGCGCCTCCCTGCATTCTCTTAACAGATCAATCTTCTTTTGACCCATGAAAGAAAACTCTATTGAGAGTGGGGTCATGAGATAAAGAAATTACCTTGATGAAAGATGTAATCTTGGCGCTCCGGAGGATTCGACGGCGTTTGCCACACAGCCTCACCGTCCTCTCTCCCTCCTCCCTCTCCTCCTCCGCCGCCTCCTCCTTCCTTCCTCTTCCTCTTCATGTTCCTGCGACGACCATCGACCGAACGAACGAGGAAAGGGTAAGAACGAACAAGTTAGAAACGACGGCGTCGGGGTCGAATACGATACGTCGAAGAAAAAGGCGCTTCCTTTTTTACCACTTGAGGTGAGCGGGAGCTGCAGTAGCGGAGACAAAGCGACGTCGTTTCCCGAGTTCTGTCCGGTCTGTCCGTCCAGACACTACTCTTAATCTGTCGTTAGTCTTCATTTCCGGTCGTTTGGTGACTCGCCAGCAGACAGACACCGATCTTCCGAACCAAAAAGATGTGGCATTTCACTCGTTAGCTTCACCAACTTGCCCAGGTATGACATGTTTCTTTCGAGCTACTCCTGCCCATCAATACGTTTAAACTAAACGCTATCTTCGCTTGCTTTCCCACGCCATATCTTTTGATTCCCGTTTATGGGAGTTCATCAAGTCCTGGTTTTGCATCTTCCCCATTTGCTTGCCCATACCATCGACTCGACTTCTTTCGCTGGTTTAGATGGAATGACCCAATAAGGTCCTTGTTAAACTTGAGACGAAGCAGAGAGACGGGCACGCGGGAGTGATCAAGAAGAAGAAGGAAATGCGGGAAGAGGAATTGGTGGATATAAAGTTCAGATTGTTCGATGGATCGGACATGGGTCCCTTCCAGTACTCATCGGCATCCACCATCGATATGTTGAAGCAGAGAGTTGTCTCTGATTGGCCCAAAGGTTTCCTCCACCTCTCCATCCTATGTTCGTTTAAGTATGTGATTTGTGCCGAATAACCTTATAATCCGATATCTTCATCTTGTTCAGATATGGTCTATGAGATTGGTGATAGATTTTAACAGCTTAGCAGGGTCATACACGCATCCTAGACTATTCGAACTTTTTCTTGTTTTAAGCCGACTTCGAGAGCCGCTTTCTTGTGGAATGTAGGAACTGTGTAGGTGCTGAGATCATGTCAAATACTGGGCCTTTTTTTAAGTTATTGATGACCCTGCTTTAAAATTTCATCTTTGCGACTGCCAGTGACCACAAGGTTATGAGTCATGTCGCTATCATGAAGAGTTGCGATCTTCTGTTTGGGTGATTGTTTTTGTCTCTGTTATTGCTGTTTACATGATAAATGTGAGATGATGAAAAAAGTCCGCCTGTGGCGCAAGAAAAGGTAGAATTACAAGCAAGCCCGCATGCCAAAATAAACGGACGCACGTGCTCGAACTGCTTGTCCATTATTTCGGTCTCCGTTATGGATTCTAAACCTTTTTTCCCTGGTGGTATGAATGTCGATGTTCTTGTGCAAGGAAAAACAGATTCGCTTGCAATTCTTAAATGCCTGCCACGGGGAAGTTGGGGCAAGAAGTGGCTCTATAACATTAGTGGCTAAGCCCGTGATGATATGTAGTCGCATAGATGTAAGAAAGGGGAAGGACGTTTACATACCAATAACGAGTAATGTGCTGAGCATATATTTCCAAAAGCAATTGTAAGGCAGATATTTTTCTGAGGAAGGTGTCTCCTGGTAAGGACAGACAGAATTTGGATTAATTTAGGGGCAACAGGTGTGACATGATATTTTGTTGATTTTTCTTTGTTTCTTGTTCTGTTACAAAATAATGTCTGAGAGGGCATTTGCAGCCCTAGAGAAGAGATAGCCTGGCTTTGGCTGTATAGATAAATGCATCTGCATCATTCCACTTACTGTGGAAATCCCTCAAATCCTTGTCAGCTAGCAATACCATGTGAGAGAATCATGTTGGCAAATCTATTCTTACTAGTTACTCAGGCATTTTTCTGTAAGCTGTAACAGCATTTTTAATTTCAACTGTGTACATGGACAACAATTCAGTGGATGATAACATATGCACCCGAGCTAAGGATTTAATCTCCAGTGAATGTTTTCTGACGTTGCTAACTTGCTGTAGATTAAGAACTGTTTCTTTTCCGCTGAGGTTGTATTGTTCGTTGTTCCTCAGGCAAGACGATCATACCAAAGGCAGCAAGTGAAGTAAAACTGATAAATGCCGGTAAAGTTTTGGAAAACACTAAGACAGTTGGTCAGTGTAAAATGCCTTTTGGTGATGTTGGCGGAGGAGGTATTATAATGCACGTTGTTGTACAGTCATCGTTAACAAAAAAAAGAGCAGGTATTTTTACTATTTTGTTACATCTAACAGCTTCGAAGGTTTGATTGCAATATTTTTATATTAGAATGCTCTACAGAGTTGGAAAGGACTTTCGTTAACAAAGTTTCTTCAGATACAAGTTTTATCTGCTTACTGTATCTGGTTCATATGCGGATTAGAAGGTCCTTCATTGACCAAGTTCGCCTGTCTAGAAATGAACTGAGAACAAACTTATTACGTGATGTCTAGTATTTCTGGCCAGACTTCATCAATTGCTTTGTCATTGTGAAACAAGATCTAGATCTTACTTACGGTAAACAAGCGTATTTCTTTGATTCATTGACTATGACTCGGTTATTAATCTGGAATGAGTAGACTTGTTCTCTTGGAGAATTCAGGCCTTTTTTAGAGTTTCGTAGTAGTAGTGAAAACTCCTTTTTTAGCCTATTGATGAATCTTCATTTCAATTTACACATGGACTTGTTTTGAAACAGAGAAGAAACTTGATGATTCCCCAAGGAAAGTTGTCTGCTCTTGCTCCGTATTGTGAGAGCATATATGTGTAGCCTCTCAGAATAGTTTATATTCGCATCACTGCTTTGTCGCTGGGAATATCCGCCAATGATTCCACTGTTGTTTCTGGACGTGTACAAGTGTATAGTGCAAATCATCTGTCCAAATACTCTAAAATTGTTGCTATATCATTCGTATCTCTTTTGCAAATTTTTGGATGGTAAGTGCATCTGATGGCCTTCAATGAGTAGTGCTAGCATAAGTTCTTCTATCTGTCGTTGGTTCATAGTTCTTCGGTGTTATTTTTACGATATAGTTGAGATGTCAGATGTACGGAGCCCTGGATGAAGATGAATGGTATCGCATCTTAAAGAGGGACGTGTTTCGTGCTGTGATGAATGTCATTTGGTTGTTCTCTGTAGGCAAATCATTACCAACTAGTTTGGAAAACAAAGGAAGCTGTGCTCTTTAGGTCTTACTGACTTCCCACTAGTTTCATGGATTTCCCGATCATTGGCAAGGCCAATGGCCCATGAGCCCAAAGAGAACTATGGATCAAACTTTCTGATGAGCAGAATTTAGCTACTCATGGGCTGGGCTCGTGATCATGCTTGCCGCCGTTCTCATTACACCCTAGTGCTATGGACAAGGGTCCACTTCCATCCCTTAGACTGAACGAGACATCGAACAGTTCATGCAACTCATGGCGAGGCGAGGGTTATATATAGTTTGACCCCTTAGGGATTGAACTTGGAACGTTGTATAATGTATACCATCACCAGTTTTCACTGTTCGGTGTTTCGTGGCGAGGTCGAAACACGAAAGAGAAGGCTCATTATGCCACGATCATAACAGATCAATACATTGCAACGAATGAAACCAAATGATTCTAAGTGAATCTACGTAACATGTGGTTATAGAACTTTTTTCTGGCCAGTTTGTCATGAGTTACCAACATCTCGTGTCATAAAAATCGCAACTAATGAAGTATGACAAAGTTAATGCATAGCACAACTTTCTCCACCAACGAGAGCAGCAATGAGCAATGGAAGATTTCATACAGCGGCTGAAACAGAGCAAAGAACAGGCGGTAAAGGTAAAAGGCTCATCAAATGTATCATCATTTCCTCCCTCATCAACAAACAAGACAGCATTCTGTAATCACATGTTCTTGTTTTAAGCTATTTACACTCTGCGCCCCCACAAAATGGAATCGTTCCGAAATCAACCCCTCCGAGCCCAAAACAGAAAAGATCATCGTAGTAGCTCCGGCAGCACAGTCTGCCGTGTCCTGGCCTCCACGCCCGGACCAAAATACAAGGCGACTACTATTTAGTATTTACCACTCAACCACCAAGCAAGCAACAAGCTCCACAAAGTCAGTGGCACCAACAGACATACAAACAAAAAGCAAGTAACTGAAAAGGCCGTGTATCCTATGAACACTGAATTGACTGTTGTCAAACGTGAGACCCATTGTCGTCCCCTTCCTTCCCTCAAGAGCACGCGACGGAAGAGACGGAGAGAGGGTAAGAGTAGGTGTTGGCATATTGAAAGGAGAGAGTGTCCCCGTTGGTCAAGGGCTCGCCATCGTTAACGAGGCAGTCGTTGTAGCGGAGGCGCTTGAAGACCCTCGGGTTGATGAGACGGTCGGAGCTGAACCAGCCACAGTTGAGGTGGATGCGAGAGATGTCGCACCCGGTCACGCAAGCGTTCATGATCTCCACGGTATAGGTGGGTATGCCACTGGGGAGCGGGGACGTCGGTCCTTGGCTTATCACTATATCGGCCTTGCTGCATCTCTCCCCCCACATCCTGTTCGGTTCTTCCATTGCCGATGCTGCATAAAGCAAACGCAAAACAAAACGAAGAAAGTTGTTACGGTGAAGACGAAGCGGACGCATCTACCGACAAAAATCGCTTTTCAGAGACGAAACGCAGGAATTATTATAATGAAGTAAAAGCCAAAGGTGGGGTGGTGGGGATATTCATGGCAACTTTTTCGCCTAAGTTTGTACTCTTGTCGGACCTTTTCCGCTCTTTTTCTGGCCGTGCTTCGCTTGAAGAAAACGACCCATCTTCAGAGCTGAAGCCCTTTCCATTCCATTACCTTGGAAATTCAAAATCGCCATCCCTACGCAAGGCGCGGAGACAGCTAGAGCTAGAAAAAAGACTACCGCGACCACATGAATGATTATTGCTAAGATGCGCGGCCCATTAACTACTGCGCACGACGGGGTCTAGTGAGTAAAGCAATTGATGATGGAATATTGAAGCGACATTGATTGAAACGTAAAGGAGAAGGATAAAGCAAAGGTATTTTTTGAGGGGGTTTAGAGGGGCCCTGTCCCTTCCTGTGTACGAAGAAGCGCACGTTAGAATGAGGCAGAGAGAAATTCCCCAGACGTGCACCTCTGACACCCGAGCCGTATTCACCCGTCTGAGCATGAGAGAAGAGCTTTCCCGCGACTGTTTTTGGAGGGTCATTCAATGTTTTCGCGTCGCAAGCAAATTATGCCAAAGATACTGATCATGCTCGGAAGCCCCAGAAATAGGTTAGACAACTAACTATAGAAACCCAGAATTGCAGATGCTGGAAAGAACTCGGTCTCCAACTCCCCATCCATCCCCAAAATTTATGACCCAGAAAAGAAGAAGTAGCAAAAGAAATGCCCACAACCCAGAAAGCTTGAATGGAGGATGATTCAAGAAGTGGAGCTTACTTACCAAGACGAAGGAGCTTCCGATGCAGTGCAGATTTCCTCAGTCTGTCACCCTTAACAGCCATTAGACTCGACTGAAATGGCCAATGCCCGTCGATCACACCTCCTGGAATATGGTAGGGAGATATAGCTGTGTTTAAATAGAACGAGGGAATATTCCTCAAGAGAGACAAGTGTAAAACGAGCAGATCACCACCACACCAGCTTGTTGCTGAAAAAGAAAACGACAAGAACAGGGAGAGAGGGAGAGAGAGAGAGAGAGAAAGGGACCTCCATGTCCCACTGAGACGCCATTGACGCACAAAAAAACAAAGAGAAAAAAGGAGAAACGAACGCACATCATTGAATTCTTTATTGGCAAAACGTACCCGCAGTAAAAAACAAAACCCATGCCCATGCATATACAAAACACGCATCGTATCAACACCAAAGAATGTGCCGGAAAAAGCGTGGGGCGGAGAATCTGAGAAAAGGCGAGGACGGAAAACGCAATCATACGCACCTCCGAAAACCGCAACCGAGAGCAGCACCATCATGGCAAGCGACACGGCCAAAGCGAGGGTAACGGGACGCCGCCTCCAGAAACCCTCCATGTCACAGCAAGAATCCAAGTCAAGGAACGAATGTAGCTATCAAGCCACGACAGCAAGTCCGGCCAGGAACCCTACACCACCATTAACGTCCGGAGGAGAGAGAGAGAGAGAGAGCGATGAACAGGACCCTGCATAGAAGAAAGAGCTGGGAATGAGTGAGGGAGGGGAGGGGAGGGGAGGGAATATGTACGCATCAGATATCAAATCAGTCAAAGGAACAACCGTCAATGCGCGAGCGAGAGCGAGAGCGAGAGAGAGAGAGAGAGAGAGCGAGAGCCATTAATGCATGCAGCATTACAGCTCAGGCGTCGAGTCCCGAGCCGAAAAGCTAAGAACAAAAAAAGGGTTTGACCTCGAAACGGGGGAGGGGGAGGGGGAAAGCGACGGCGACATGCGACACGCCCCACGCGCAACTCGGGGTGCACAGATACATGGGAAATGGAAACCCCCACGGAGGAGGGAGAGTCTCGACTTCGACTCGGCAGAATCGAATCGAATCCGAATAGAATAGAATATAGGAAGCGAGCGATGTCCGATTACGTGCCACAAATCCTAGGGGCCCAAGGGCGTGGAAAACGAAGGTGGACATTTCCAGGAAAAAAATCAATGCGGGTGAGAAGGGAAAAGAAAGAAAGGAAGAAGGAGGAGGAACGAAGCGGGCGGAGAGAATATGGGGGTAGGGCGGGGCAGCCAAAGTTACAGCGACGCGAGCGACAAGGCCAGCAGACGGACAGAGCAGCGTCTCCCAGTAGTACTGTAAGTAGCAGTAGTACGCAACAAACTACGACGCTTCTTCATTTCACACACACACATAGCGCAGACGGCGGACAGACGGACAGACGGACAGACACCGCAGACGAAGCACGGAGAGACGCGGTACTCGAGAGAGAGAGAGAGAGAGAGAGAGGGAGAGAGAGAGAGAGGGGGGGAAGAAGAAGGGTGTTGTCGAAGAGACAAAACAGGAGCGGGCAACGATGGAAGAGGAAAAGAGGAGAATCAGAGGAAGGAAACGCGCTCGAGCATCGGCGGAGCGCCGCACAGAGAGAGAGAGAGAGAGAGAGAGAGAGGCGAAGAAGGGAGCACGTACTCGTCAGTGGAAGGCGGCGGCGGCGGCGGCAACAATGGCTTCCGCCATTGAAGAGAGAGAGAGAGGGCAAATCAACACGGAGACGCGTGCGCGGAGGAAGAGGAGGAGGAGGAGGAGGAGACTGCTAGAAGAGGAAGGCGGTTTAGGGTTTTGGGAGCTTTTTGAGTTTTAAATGAGGGGGTAGTGTGAGAGAGGATGCAGAAGCTAGAGAGCTCGCTCCCGAGCTCGCTGGCTCTGTGTAATGTAAATCAATCAAATGATTAATTAAATGATAAGGGGTGCACGTGGCGTTGTTAGTTACGATCGCTTAAAAGGCGCGTGCTTAATTATTTTGGTTATTATATGGAACGACACCGCCATTTTTAAATTCATTCATTTACTGTATGTGCTCCCCTCCCCTCCCCTCCTCTTATCTAAAAGCATTATCATCTACTATAGTTAGTTGTCTCGGGATTAGACAACTACTACGGGCGGAATATATATATATGTATACATCATTCATTCAAAGAGTAACGAAAACACGCGTGCAAAACACGAAGAGAGTCCTAAATATGATAGCCCAATTTTGAGGCTCCTCACGAAAAAAAAAAAAAGAATTATTGTCTTGACATTTTCATGAACAGTGGATATATTTTTCTTTCGTTCGTTCCTTTTTGTGACCGATACGGGCCACTATTTTTAAGAAAATACTTTTCAAATTAATTATTTTTCGCAAAATAAAATGGGGCTTTACTGACTTCGTCTTTCAAGTCCATAGGCGCAGAGGGTATTGCATTCTAACACCATCATTAGTAAAGTCAGTTTAGCGCAATGTTTATTTCATCTGCCTCACTTCACCACGGATTCACATAGGCTTGCTCCTAATTGCCAGACTTTGGTTCAGTGATTTTGGCCATTTAACAAAAAGAACAAGAAAGAACCCAAGACTCATCAAACAGGGGGTTCCTCTCTGCAGTCAATTTGGCCAATCATCACCACCACCGCCTTTTTTTGTGCGGCCTCATTACGACCGCCGAATCGTAAATTTAGTCAAAGCATCGACTGTTTTGGGACAAATGAGTCTCCCCTGCCCGTCCTTGCTTCCACCATTAAACTCAGCACGCAGCAGCAATTCCAGTAAAGTCTCTTAAAAGTTCGATAAGCTCGCGATCCCATATTTGCAATGGCCAGAGCTTGGGACGGAAGGTCTTGACACCATTTAAATAACTGGAAACGCCACACCACGGTTCTAATACCGATCGGAAAACCACAGGTTTTACGGGTATAATACCCTCCCAGTGGTCTCTGCTCTTCTTTCATTTCCTGGATTCTGAAAATCCAAATGCCGACTGTCGCTTGACGGCCAAATGAAAAACAAACAAAGAAGGCCTTTCAAGACTAAGGAAAATTCACCTACCCTGCACCGGTGGGTCAATCAAAAAAGTTGTTTCCTGGCGCATATAGGGCGAGCAGTCGCTGTTACAGCGACTCCACCATATAATCTCACGCTAAACCCGCCCCACCAGTAACAGGACACTGCACAGCAACATTCCGACCTTTTACTCCGTTCAAGCACAAGGCAAGCAAAATAGTCGAGCCATTCAATAGTTGGGCTGCATGTGTGTTCCACAGTCTCCATTTAAGTGAAAAGCATCAGTTCACGAAGAAATAATTGAATGTGACAAAAACCTCTAATGTTTATATTGTAACTACACCATTCCATACAGCTGGCAAGACTGCGCTGACTCGACCAAAAAAATGGGGGGCCAACTCTGAGATTAAGCAGAATCGCGTCAGCACATCCTGGCTTGAGCACATCATCAGACCATAAATCCCCCACCCTAAATGGACTACTTCTTCCTACACTAAACGGCTCTAGAATCAGAGGGTTAGCAGAATCTGACCATAATTACAGACGAGTACAGTAGATCAGAGTTTACAATCTTCTAAGAATGAAGCAGTTAGCCACCCACGTCCGATGCCTAAGATTTTGATTTTCCATTGGGAGATTTCATCTGTTCCAGTAGCTTCACCTTGTCCAGCAAATCTTGGATGGTAGTAGAAGCATCCTACAGCAAATGTAGATGAACAGGGAAAAAAAGTTAGAAGACCATCCAATTCCGAACAAGAAGAAGAAGAAAACACTATAACGCAGTGATATTTGGCAACACTAGGGACGACCTTCTGCTTCTCCCTCAGGTTCCGCTCGACAGCATCTCTTCGTTCCCTTTCCTCTTGAAAAATATCAATTAAAGTTTCTTGCTCCCTGTTCAATTGGTCTATTTTACTTTGGGCTTCTTGGAGCTGATAAAGTAGTACAGAGACGATAGTGGTCAGGATACACTTGGCTGAGAATTAAAAGGACTTGAGGAACACATTAATTTGGATAACTTTGAGATAGACTCTGAAGACTATTTCTGAGTTATGAGTCCATGTCGAAGAAATGTCACGAGTAACATCTTGGCATTGAAATAGCAAAGCACTCACCTGACTTTCGAGAGTTCTGCACCTCTCTCTCTCAGTTTTCAAATCACTCTGCAACTTACTCAAAATTTCTCCGTCCTGCTGTGCCAATCTGTAAACAACAAGGAGATCAATTAGATGTAGAGAATCAATCAAACAGGGAAAATACCAAGCACAGTGAATGATAGTAAAGCACATCATATTCACCTTTCCCTTAACTGACGATTCTCTTCTCTTAATTGTTCTACATCTACTACCTGCCAGAAAAACAAACCGACTAAATCGAAGCTAGCACTGAAGGAAGCAACATAAATATATTAGGAACATAAATATATTAGTGAAACTTTTAACTGGCAATGTTAGGGTTCCGCGCGATTTTTAAACCTGCCGTTTGTCGTACAGGTTGGACTGTGGTTCGAAGAACATTTACATTAATATGCATGTCATCAATGACACATAGGTATGTAAGCTGGGATGGATGGTCATCTTGATCTCCATCCCCTCCATGTCTTTGGTTCAACTCAAAACAAAGACATACTTGGTATGTAAATAAGCGTTTATCCGTGAACTGTGACAAGAATAGTATTTACAAGGATTCACACAGCATGGACAGCCAAAGGCAGATATCATCCTTATTAACTTTTTACATTAAAACTCGATTCCTCATATTTTTCAGACAGGTATGGTTCTCGGAGAAATAGTTTCCAATATCACAAGTTCTTGAACTTCTTTCCATACTTTTTAATCAATACTCCTAAGTTTCCTCATGTCAATTGAACTTTAGTTCTTCCCTCCCAATCCAATCAGCCGAGACAACTCTTTGCTAAGACACCATGCCTACTTTTGACATGCTTTTACATCTTGTCATGTCACGCTGCACCAACTATGTCAAACTCAACTGTTCATTTATGACTCCTCAAAATATATGACTCCTCTGCTATTATCATCATAAATGGAAGGTTCATAAGAATTTATCTTCACACCACCATTCTCCCTTCGAGCTATCTCTTAAAGAATCATCATACATTAATTGTCACTCGCCTTCCACTCCTATTTCTAAATGGCGAAAACTATGGACATCAATTAATCACCAAAAAGCCTCTAGCAGGGGCTCAAAACAAAATTAATATGACTCAAGGACAAATAATATGACCAAAAAGCATTAACGATCATAGGTTACACCTCGCAGCATCCAGATTGACATACATAGAACTATCCAAGGGGAGAACTGTAAATTACTGAATTACCTGCAGAGGAGTTGCCGTGCTCAGACCATCAGTTTTTCCCCCTGAATCATAATTAAGGTCGGAGTCCTCACCCAAGCATGCAAGCGATGAAGAAATCTGGACCCCCATTACAGAAGATTTGTGATCACCACCATTTGAATCAGGTTGGTGAAGTGACACGTCATCGCCATTGACAGCCTCTGTAGAAGGGGGTGAAGATGATTCTCTCAAATTCAAAGTTCTTCCTGTTTCAGAACGGGTGCCCATCCTCGTTGTGCCTCCAGAGGAGGTATGCTTTCCATCATTAGAGCGTGAAGAGAATTTGTCTGAACTTCGTATGGTCGGCTTACTGCTTGACACAGTATGCCTTCCTGATCTTAAAGATGTTCGCGGCTCATAATCAGGAGAATCATCTACCAGGATGAACATTCTTGTCAAGAGGATAATCATATTTTTAATTCATGAACGATCTAGCGAAATTCATTGTAAATGAATACCGTAGCTGAAAGGAAGACAATGAAAGGAAAATGACATAAAATGCGACGTCTACCTCCTCCTGCAGACTCAATAGGGAGTTTCTTATTGCCTAATGAAGCATAGCCAATTCTTTGAGAGTTTGTGTTCCTGGAAAATCAGCAAAGGGAATTAGTAACAAGTAATTCTAATGAGGAGAAGATGATGGGAAGGGAGAAACTTATACCAATAGTTCTTCTGCATTTGAATCAGCCGTGCCTCGAGTCTTGCGAGCACTGTTGTTCGCTCAAACCCTTGCTTATCATGAGCTGGTTCAACAAAATTAGCTTCCAAAACACCTGGCCGAAAGCGGAAACATATTACAAAACACATATTTCACATAGTAAAAAGTTGGATATCAGAGCCAAAGAAAAACCTATCACTCCACGACCACCACATCCAGCAGGATTCCAAAGCCTCCAAAATGGCTGCAAAAAGAATGAATGAGGTCATGTTATAATTCCATCTATATAAGGGAAGCAAACAGAGCACTCAAGAATCCTCGTAATATTCAAAAAAGAAATAACGAGAAACCATGTTTCGCTGCCAAACTAACTGAAAAGATAACATAAATAGAACAGAGGGATTGCTACAGCACAAAGAGTAAAGGAGCCAACATAAAGAGGAGGAAGATCGCAGCCCGAAACGATCCAAGCAAGTAGATTCAATCTTGCTATTTGAATTCTTGGATAACACAAAATAATAATAACTGAGATTCTGACAATGATGCGTAAGGAGGCCATCACCGGACAAGAAACAGGAGAACCTCAAACCTTGAAAGAAGTTCAAAAGTCCAAACAATGTAAACAAAGTAAAAGCACCACAGAAAGAAATGATCGACCACATATAAGACAAGAACACCATGAACAAAGATGTCAAGGTGTCATTTAGTCCAACCATCAGTGACTACCAACTAGATGGTAAAGTGGTAACAGAACTCTTAAAATTAGCATCGTCAAAATGGAAAAGTTCAAGTAGTGCCATAATTATTTCTACCAGAAGAACACAGACCTTAATCAGGCGATTCTTGTGATATACATTGAATCCTTGGACATCGATATGATGCTTTGCATCCTTCACGAACCCAATTGTAACGACAGCAGTCATCTGGCAACAACATTTGCACATAAATAGGCATACTATCAATAGGAATATCTGCAAAAGCCAAAAGAACATTGTTGTGAAGCATTACAGTGTCTTTATAAACTCCATCTGCACCAGGTTGTGGTCGATAAGTAACTTCTTGAGATAGCATCATATCATTTACAATATTATGATGCTCAATATCTTTCCCTCGAAGAATCATCCGGAACCTGGGGGGAATCCTCAGATAGAGAATAGAAGCATAACTCTTCAAATAAAAATAAAAAAAGCACATATGTCAGTTGAGAGAGAGAGAGAGAGAGAGAGCTATAAATTATTTTGAAGCTACTACAACACAGGGATCATTGTAATAATGACTTCATACAAACAAATCAAATTTATAGTCTTTGAGAGGAAAAGTGCTAAAGGCATACGCTTTTTCGCGGAAGAAAATAGTCTATTTATTTATCACTGGACATCCATGTCACAGCTGCTAATGTTATAATTTTTCTCTGGTTATTTGCCCCTCTGTCGAAATCAAGTTGTTCATATGCAATTCAGGATGCAGGAGACATAAATACACCAGAATCAGACCGAATCCCTTAAAGATCTGACAAAGGGCTGGTATCAATGAGCAAATTGGGGATTTTCTACTCATGCCTTCACCTCTTCATATAGCCTGCAACTCACTTATGACTAAATTTTTCACTTAGAATGCTAACGTTCCATTAATAAGGATAACTTTGAGGCTAATATAAAGAATTGCAATGAAAAATCTTCAAACCCAAAAAAAGTCAAAAAATAAAATAAAAGGTTGTAATGATCCTTACTGGCAAAGTACCAGAGTTTGGCATACAATTTTAAATACTGCAACTGCATGCATGTGGACCGAGAGCAGCCCACAAGCTGCCAAATCCACTTGATAAAATTTTACGAGTAAACAAGATGATGAAAATAACCTTTAGAGCCTTATTAAGCTCCACATGGTGGTAATAGTATGGTATGCACTCCTGACATAACTTCACCAATGAGTGTCTTACCGATTTATTGATCAAAACACGTACGATATGGACAAAAAACAGATCTGTGCATTTTTAAGTGCATATCACAGAGGAGGAGGTAACAATTTAGATGTTGGAGTCATTTTTGGAATTCGTGCTATACAGAAAATCAGATCTATCATTCGAATTTACCATCATGACCTCTACTACCACACTTTTGTCAATGCTGAATATTAGAACTTGAATTTCCTAAATATTTCAAATAACCCCACAATTGAAGATGGCAGAAAATGTTGACCCAATGAGAACTGGCAGTGGGTCTTTTGAGCAGCAAATCACTCCCCCATTCCTTGGTTGTTTGATTAATTTATTGTAAAATGCCCGTAAACATCGAGAAAATCTACTTGACATTTGCAAGTTATCTATCTAATTTTAAATAGTTGAAAGAATGTCAAAAGATCAGGTTATCCATGCTGCTTGAAGTGCAAATGCAATGAAGGCGCAGCATCAATTCACTAATAAGGTATCTAGTTGAAGCCAAGCATGTATTCAACTGAACCAAAGTAAGACTAAAATCTTGTTGCTAACAGACTAAGTGAAACAACAAATTTCAGTCACATAACATAGTATAGCATCAACCACCACTTACCCTTAAGGAGTGCCTATAAGTCAGGAAATGCCTAGAATTGGGAAACTTTTTTGCCATTTGTATGTTCTTCTCATCTCTGTTGACCCCTCTAAGTTGAATATCCTGATACTCGTACAAACATGCACATCAGACACAGAGTAGTGAGAGCTACCAGTCTATAAAGCATCAATGAAAGATACTCACGTGTGGATCTGCATCGAAGTCAAGCTCTAGAAATCCTTGATCATCTTCCCAAAGATTGTAGATAATTATACGTGTACCATGATCTCCCATCAGACCAAACTGTAGTAAAGTAGTATAACAAAAGGTAAAGGACATGATTAAGCTGCCAATGGTGATCGGTAGACATCAAGACAACACACCCAAACAGAGAAGCAGGACAGCTTGTATAGTGCTCAATATGCACGACTAAATCATTAGTGAAAGAGTCAATGTGCACAACTAAAACTTTCATGAAAGATTCTCTCATTGAATAGCCAAATCTAAGAGATACACATCACATCAAGTAACAACACCATATGGTCAGTGTCAGCCAGGATTCGGCAAAGAATATGCCAAAGTTATGTAATTTAAAATATATTAAGAATACTTGTTGCTCACAATATTTTGACCTTGTGATGAACAAAAGCAGCCAGAGCACCTATAATCATGATAAAGCAAATTTCACGCGGAGGGGAAGGGGAAAACCTGCTGAAACAGATCCTCCTCAGCAGAAAAGGGAGACCACTGTATTATTGTTTCGAGATTTCTCTTCCAATCGCCAAATGAAGACCTTATCAACTGGTTCCAACTGCCTTCGCGTCTGTCATAATCAAGCTGTTCCATACATAGATCAAACATAAATATTTTTTTGGTATCATCTTTCCAAATGTACACAATTTAGTCAAAATACTACGGAAATATAAATTTGCCGGACCCATGAAAAAAATTGCACTGCTTTTCAGTCGAAATTGTGTTGAGGCTAGTACACTAACAAAAAGAGCAATATGTAGAAAATCACCAGAAAGTGAAAGATAGATGTACTTCATCAGCAAATGAAAAAAAAAAAAACAGTAGATTGAGATGTCATTACCATGGGTACTACAATATCTTCCTTCCCCGTGCTCCTCAAAAACGTATATGAAAGCATCCCAATGCTCTGTGTAAAACTGACAGAGAAGTCCAAATATTACTGAAAACAAAATCTATATTTTCTCAAGAATAAAATACACATCAAAGGTATCAAGGCAATCAAGTTCAAAAAGGAGAACAGACCAGTGAAAAAGTAGTAGGTCGGCAGGACGTAAACAAGACATATCAAGTCTTATGCATCCCAAAAAATAGCACTAAGAGGAGCATTAACAACATGATATATTGGGAAGGTATGCTTCTACATCAAGAGGAACATATATCAGGTATATCAACTTCAATTACTTCTGTGATTTCAGGGGAACAGAGTGCAACTGAGTAACAAGCAAGAAGCTGTGGGCTTGTAGCAGTACCTAAATTCTCAAAAAAGTTTATATCTGAAAACACCGGGGAAAAGAATAAAAGATAGTTGACAATTCAAAACCATTTACAGGACAAAGAAAGTTGCAGATAATTGAGTGAACATACAGGAAAAACTGAGAACGGAGGGAGCTAGATATTTTGGTAATGGCTCAAACAGTTAGAAGTTGTTTTGAGGATTTCATTTGACAATAACGGCACTCTTGGAAATATCTGAAACTTTGTGCAATGACTGCTTAACAGAACTACCGGAAGTGTGGGAAGTATATACGTGCTAAGCATATTAGATGATGCAAAGAGTTATTTTTGGAAACATTGAATACAAACCTTTTCCCATCTTTTCCACGACATCTTGAGAACACTATCACATCTGCCCCAAGCCTCATGGTGCTCGTTTTAAATCCATTGCCATCTGCAGTTGGAAAAGAATGAACACCATGCCATCAAACATATAGCTTGAAAAAACCACAAAAATTATCTTCTTAGAGATTTTTACATTGTCCGATTGTATTTGCCAGTTTGCTTTTAGCAGAATACCCCAAAGACATGCACTGCCGCATTTTATCTGGATCCATGCCACCACCATTATCTACAATGAAAGGACAATAGAAGGTCATCATTTGAGCAAGGGTCACAGCCAACTCTTAGACAAAGAATAGAAAAGGTTCCCACCAAATACACTTCTAAACAGATATACTGTGCACGAACCACATTAGAAGTAAAAATAACACAGAAACAAAATCACATCACTTATGTTAATAAACTGAAGAAAAGGACAAAAAAACTCAAAAGACCCCACGGCTCTTCCAACAGCTGTCTAATAAGCAATTCCCAAAGCTACAAAATGAATCAGTTTAAGATCTATGATATAGATTATACAGTAATTATATATATTATTCACTATACTTCAGTGATAGCAGAGCCCTCGTCCTGTTTGAAAATAGCAGAAAGGAAGGAAAAGAATGCAGAATCAGACACCCAGTCACTTCCAACAGCATCTGTGTTAAACTGACTAGATCCATGGTGTCACTGCCATCTCCAAGGTCATTCCTGTTGTTTCCACACTAGAAACCACATTCTTGTCTAGCTCATCACTTCCCCAGCATCCTATGACCATAGATGGTTGCTTTAGTCTACTGCATGTGGACTGTTATAACCTCCCCATGTCCATGGACTTTAAAACTTCTCTATACCATCTACGCATGGAGATGTTTACATACTATTCTAATTGCTCCTCATTAGATAAATACCAGCAGTCCAGGCTCTACTCCACTTGTAGATACCCGCATGGTACAAGATTCGCAATCTAATATAATTGAGTACATGTCAATTATTTCTGATGCCCACTTTTCCTAAAGGGTTTCACATCGCAGAAGTTGGTTTACAATTGTGTTTGTTACAATTGATCGCCACCACCCTTCCCAAAAACCATCAACAATGGGTACAACTCTCCAAAAGGTGCATGTACGAGCTTAAAATATGATCCCAAGAAAAAGCATATATTTCAGAAGCGAAAACTGAGGATGCAATAAGACAGAAAGAAACCAGCAAAGCAAAATACCTTCAATCAGCAACATTCTATTCCCATCTTTCTTATTTTTTAGCATGTCTATCTTAACAAATGTTGCCCCGCTAGGAACCTGAATCGAGACAGAGGAAGTAAAGACAATAAAAAAATATAGCAAGTCATAATTTAAAATAAATACAGGAACTACGCACACCTCATCCAATGCGTTATCCAAAAGCTCTGCTAAAGCTGCGAGAGATGCACAAGTAGCTTGTATAAGCTCAAAGACAATCTAACTTCAAGACACAGAGATGATCAAAGTTTGAAAGACAGGCAAGGTTACCTCCTAGAGCCCACTTGTGACTGGTTGCATTAGAATGTAGAAACTTCGGATGAACCCTGACATGATCAAAGCCCCCTGAATCATCAAACAGACATGAGAATATGCACCCGTAACATAAACACACAGAGCTCAAAGAAAGGCCACACAACCACAAACAAGAGACCGATGCTCTAACCCCAGAACTTACAACGATATGCACTCCAAAACTGAATAATTCCTCGAATTATTTCCAAGCATGCATTTCAATAAATTAAAACAACGACGAAACAGAAGCAACGATGCATTGTACCCTCTCCCCACCACAAGCTCAATGTGTCTCGGCATCAAAACCGAAGCAACGGAAAACCTAAACCCAAAAAAGAAAGGATCCAACAGCAGCAAGTACACGAAACGAAACGTCACCTGAGTAGGAATCCCAACCGCCACCAGGACAGCCCTCGTAATCCCCGGCCTTCCAGAACTGCTTAGTGGCCCCGGCCTGCGAGAGCTGCCGCAACGCCGCCGCCGCCGGCGACGCCGACTCGGGCGCCGGCGCCGGCAACTGCCCCAGCGGGGGGAGAGGCTGGAGGAAGCCCTCGGGGATGACGACCCCCAGCTTCCTCTTCTTGGAAGGGCCCTCGTCGTCGCCGTCGGACTCGCTGCTGCTGCCGCTGCTGTCGCTGAGGTCGATGAAGGACACGGGCCGCTCGTCCGGGACAATGTCCTTCCGCGACGACGACACGGCGGCCTCTTGCTTCACGCGAGCGTCCATGGCTGCGAAACGCACACGCCAGATAACCCCACGGCAACCGCCGTAGCTTTCGCGGATGGCGGATTCACCCACCAAGACCCCCCCGGAGCAAGGCCGCGGCGGAGGAGGACGAGGAGGAAGGACGATCGACGTATCCGGCGCGACGGCGGCGACGGCGGCGGGCGGCGGGGGGCGAGATCCGATGGCTCGAGAATTCCTTGGAAGCGAAGGGAAAGGAGGGATTGATCGAATCTGCGATCGTTTCCGAAGGATCGAAATGGAAATTTGGAATAGGAATTGGAAATTCCAGTGCGCGCGTGTAAGTTCCTGTAGAGTGCCGTACAAACTGCATAAAATCAGTAAGGCCAGCAAAGCATCCGAAGCGGCGCGTGCGCGGAAGACGGAAACGGAAATCTCGCCGTTAGCATTGACGGCGACTCTCCCGGGGTCGGTGCGCGCAAATCTCCCCCTTTTTATTTCCCGAAAAGCAAATATTTTCGGAAAATATTTTTCGAAAAACAACCGCTTACCTCACCTATCTAATCGAACGAAGGCGGGATATTTTCTTACCTACGAAAATGTTTGGACCAAAATTTTGTGGTAGGTGATAAAAATAGAGCGGTGGATTGTTGTGAAAATAACGCGGAAACTGAGATATCTTGCGATCTATGTCTAACGAAAGAAGGAAAATCAATTATCAAGAGAAATCGGCGATGAACGATAGAGACTATCAGTCAAGCGTCGGTACCTGCTCCACGAGAAGAGCCAGCTGCCACGAAGAGTGCAGAACTCAATCTCTCGAATGTTTCCTCGTCCTAGATTACACCCATAGCAAAAACCCACGAGGTGTTATTTCACAATCTATCGTAGAATACTCGTAATGAAGGAGCATATTAGAATCTACTACAGATAACTTACCTGGAAAACTCACAAAGAGAAAACCCAGCACTCTCCTTGTCCGCTCCGCTGTACAATCGAGTAGAATTTCATCTCTTATATATTATCTTTATATCCAAAATAGGAAACCCTTTTTAGGAAACCTAATCGATATAGGAAACTACTCAAATTGTGAAATCTACTCAAATTAGAAAACGCGTTGTTATATGGACGGTGTTAATCCCACGAGAAATATATGCAAGACACAACCGGTTAAATATACTCAAAGTCTACTAATTTGAAATTGTATTTCATTTCTTTCGTTCGAGATTCACAAGATTATTTAAGTGGTGACTGAAATCTATTCTAATCATGTATATGGAAACTTAAAATTTATCATGATCTAGTACACTTCCCTATGCCTTGCTTTGGTTTAATGGGTCAAGTTATAGTCCATGCGAAACACGATGCCCTTTCGATCTTTCACTATTGGATTAAAATGTAACAGATATCAGCCGTTTAACAAGTTTGAGACTAAACATTTGTGATCTTTTATCTTTTAGATGGTAAAATCTGTGAAGACATGGTGCCTACAAGGGACCCGTAAAAACACACCACCTATCAAGTGAAGAAAGAGAAAGAGCAAAGATGCAAGAGAGAGGTGGTGGATGATCGAACTTCGGCGAAACGCGCGTGCAGCTTCTTCATGTACCCCGAACCCGTAGTTTGTGAAATATCGGACTTCAAAATTGGCTCATCGCATCAATTTTGTATAAGAACATTGAAAGATATCAAGGGATTTTTCATATCTTCCTTGATTCTTTATATCTCTTAAGATTATGTATATCGTTGATTGATTATTATTGATATTGTGATATCTTATCACTTTATCCTGTAAAGCCCAGGCCCATGTACTCTTCATCCAAACACACAATGAAATATGCAAAAATTACAATTCTCCTCATTATCCTTATCTTGGTATGAGAGCTCTTATTATCTTAGTAAGCGCCCATCTAGTTATATGATGGTTGCTACGTGTCAACTGTCTTTCACCGAACTTGTCACCCTTGAATGCTGTTCCTAACACTTTTTTATCGCTCGTTTAAAAAAAACCAATTCCACTATCAGACTCACCCCCCTCAAACGAACTATGTACTTGTTTAGAAAACCAACACCACCGCCAAACTTATTTGCCCTGGATAAGCCATATATATACTGAAATTTCCTCATGATTTATCACATGTTCCTAAGATATTTCGACGTGCTGAATCTGTTTTTGACCTTATTTTCACCACATCTATCCTTGAAGGTGGTGTGCAAAAGAACTGAGAATTGCTCGAACCGCCCAAAATCGAACCAAACCAGTCAAGAATCAGCAATTCCCATTAGGGGTGAGCGCGGTTCCAGGGTAGAACCGGGAACCGGAGAACAGGACCGGTGGATCGGTTCGGTTCCGGTTCCATGGACGGAGGGTCCGTTCCCGATTCCCCATTTTTAGGAACCGATTGTTCCGGTTCGGTTCGGTTCCTATAGGAACCGGAACCGAGATCGAACCGGATCGAAGCAGGAACCGGAACCTGGAACCGTAGAAACCCTACTTCGATAATTCCCAAATGCTCCCTTCTCTTCTTGAATCACATCTTTGAAGTTCCAAAGCATTCGTTTCGCCACACACGCACACCCCCAAACCCATCCACGGCTGAGACTCACTCACTCTTACACACGCACACCCCCAAGCGGAGCGTCGCCGTGTTTCCGAAGGTGGGTCTTGGTCCTTCTCCGTCTCTCGGGCCTCCCGATCTAGGTGAAGCCCCTAAGCTGGCGTTAAAAGTTCTCGTCTTTTTGTTGGGTTTGTCCTTAGATCTAGATGCTGCGATCGTGGTTTGGTGGTCCACCTTCTTCTTGTTTTTGTCTTTTCATTGGTCGCCGGCGAGTATTCGTAGATCGGATCGGATGTGGGAATGTTACCGGGTTTCGCTGGATTTCGAGACATTGTTCGACTGGTTTCTTCTTTGTTGCGGGTGTGGGTGTTGCCGATCCGTGCTCGTAGCAATTTGTTTGAGTGAATCGAGGCTCAGCTCTATGGTTGACGGCAAATCTTGCTTCCCATTGAATATGTTTGGCTAATTGTCTCGTGCATGATTGGGTGTGTTGATGCATCGGGTGTCGTTTTTATGTTTCTTGATCCGTGTTTGGTTTGATTGAGTGATCTATTTGATTGTAGATAGATGCCATTCTTTCGATTTAGAGATTTTATTTTTACTTGGAACTGTTGTTTGAATTTGTAAAGATGAATGGCGTCATCTTGAAGATACAGGACAATGAAAAAGAATTCTCCTTTTGGACTAGAAAGGAAAACGAATTCTCTAAGCTCTCTCTCTACACTCTTGCAATCGAATGAATCTCCGGCGTATGCTAATTCTTGTTTTTTTATTCTTATATCTTTTAGCTGGAACAAAGTGGTGCTAATTGAATATGTTACTTCTTCAGATTTCTTGATAATATGTAACAATTTGATTTTAATGTGCTTCGTGCAGGTCATTTGACTCTTTAGGTGGAAGCCCTTTTGTATTTAAGCTGGTCCAGCAGTTGGTGTCATTGCATTTGCTGCATGGGGTCTTGGTCCACTCATGCGCTTTGTTAGGGTTGTCTTTCTTCATGTAAAAACAATCATTCTCCTATAATTATTTCTTTTTTGACAGATCTATTCATTAAATAATTTGCTTGAACAATTATCTCCAATTTATGCAGAAAAATGACAACAGTTGGCAGAAGAGCAGTACACACTATGTTATGACATCATATCTCCAACCTTTGATAGTATGGACTAGAATGACACTCATTTGCAGGTGCATAAATGATTTTATGAGTCTAGGTGTATGTTCGCATTTATTCTATTCCCAAAAGTCTGTTTGTACTAAACTGAATCGGTTATGTTACACACATTGGATCCAGTAGTTTTACCAACCGAAGCTAGTCAAGCCTGTTAAGCAACGGCTTCTTATTTTTGTTCGATCATTGTCGATCTCGGCTTTTGCATTTTGTTTATCAAGGTGAGTTTTTATCCGTGCGAATTGGTCTTGGAATCGAGTGAATATCGATCTGTCTTCAATTAGTCGGGTGACTTCGAGAAGAGAACTTAAAACTTAATTTCTCTCTTTCTTTTGCAGGTTCCGCTAAGAAAGTTAGCAAGATAGGACTACGGTCGGAGTCTATAGCAGGTAATGCGTATGCTTCCACTTCTGGGATGTTACTCTCTAGTCTATGTTGCATGGAGCTCTATCTAGTCTTTCTTTCACATTGGCATCCCAATTCCTATTATTTGCCCGTGTAAATGCGCATCCTTTGCATTCAAGATCCATTATGGCTGCAACTTTGGAATATGGCTGCTTGAGATTCAAATTGCATTTTCTTTTCTGCTTGTCTTGTTCGTTCTCGTGTCGTTTGATTGATTGTTCAAGTGCTCTCGGCTAATCTGTTCTCGTGTTGTTTGCTTGGCCAGTGTTGTTTGATTGACCTATCAACTATCAAGAATTGAAGATAACATGTCAATGGAGGTTGAGGGATGTGAGGAGATGACTCCGATCACAGAATTTGAATTGTCGGGCGATGAAAATGAAGAAGAGCCATCCCCTATCACGAGTGCGACAAACAAGGTACTTGATTCTCGCCGTCCTCTTTCTAATAACAAATGTACGTCCGATTGTTCGAATCATTTTGCAAGAATCAAAGATGGGGATGAAAAAACATATAAGGTAAAGTGCATTCATTGTGGATCTGAGTTAAAGTACAATGTTGCTCATGGTACTTCCGCAATGAGGAAGCACTTGAAAACATGTAAGAAGTTTCCTTGCAATGTTGATAAGAGGCGAAATTCTTTGCACCGCGTAATGTAGACTTAGGCGGCAAGGCGGGAGAAGGTTCTAGTCTTGGTAGTGTCTTATCGACATGGTCATTTAATCAAGAACGTTGTAGGCAAATGCTCGCTCGGTTCATCATAGTTGATGAACTACCCTTTTCCTTGGTTGAGCGTGTTGGATTTCGCGAGTTTGTCACCGAGTTACAACCTCTCTTTAAACATTTGTCACGTTTTACAGTGGCTAAAGATTGTATGAAGCTGTATTTTTGTGAAAGAACTTGTTTGAAGACTTACTTTGGTAAGATAAATTCTAGGATCGCACTCACGATCGATACATGGAGTTCCATTCAAAACCTGAATTATTTGTGTCTCACTGCACATTTTATTGATGAAAATTGAAAGTTGCATAAAAGAATCATCAATTTTGTGGTGATGCCTAGTCACAAGGGTAGGGAGATTGGGAGAATGGTGGAGAAATGCATCAACGAGTGGGGAATAGAAAAGAAGGTATCCACAATCACCGTGGATAATGCTAGTTCGAATGATGTTGCAATTGGTTATTTGAAGGAAAAACTTTCAAGAGAAAAGTTGTTGATCTTAGATGGTAGTGTTTTACATATGAGGTGCACTGCTCATATATTAAACTTGATTGTTAGAGATGGCTTGACTACGGTACGAGAATCTATTGCACGTATACGAAATGTGGTTAGGTATGTGAGGAGTTCTCCCATGAGAGCCAACACATTTAAATCTTGCATTGAGGGTGAAAAGAATACTTACAAGGGTTCAGTTATTCTTGATGTCGCCACTAGATGGAACTCCACTTACCTCATGTTAGACACCGCCATAAAATTTAGAAAAGCTTTTGAAAGGATGGAAGAAGATGATTCAGCTTTTGTCGGTGAGCTTAACCATGATCTTCCTAAAGATGATGATTGGGAAAATGCCATTATTCTTTCAGAATTTCTAAAAATATTCTATGATGCCACCAATCGAATGTCGGGGAGTTCATATGTTACCTCAAATGATTATTTTGAAGGGATAGCTCTTTTGTATAAATATTTGAAAGATGCGGCGGATGCTTCGGATCCTAAACTTCAAGCTATGGGTATGAAAATGAAAGAGAAATTTGACAAATACTATGGGAGTTTGGATAAAGTGAATACGTTGGTGTTGATTGCGGTTGTGTTGGATCCTAGAGCCAAGTTGAGTTATGTGAATTTCTTGTATGGACAAATTTATGATGATGAATTGAAAGTTAATGAGATGCATTACAAGGTGAAGGACGCATTGGAGCGTTTATATGAATTTTATGAACAATCTTCTCTTGCTTCAAGTGATCGAAATTTGGGTGCCCAAAGTTTGAATGCTAGTAGCAGTGGTTCCAATGCCGATGCCGGTGGTAGTGAAGGTAACAGGATCAAGAAGTATGATGCCCAAGCTTGGCGAAGAACCTTTATGCACTCGAACCAACAAGTGTGCAATGACAACAAATCTGAGCTTGATCAATATCTTGAAGAAAAAAATGAAAATATTCTTGATCTTGACCTTTTGATGTGGTGGAAGACTAGTGGCTCAAAATATAAAATCCTATCTTTGATGGCTCGGGATGTTTTGTCTATTCCCGTAACTACTGTTGCTTCGGAGTCGACTTTTAGTACATCGGGTCGTGTTCTTGATGGCTTTCGAAGTTCTTTGACTCCCAAAGTAGTGGAAGCTTTGATTTGCACTCAAGATTGGTTGAGAGCCGTTCGTGTGCCGATTGATGTTGAAGAATGCATAGAAAATGCAGAAAATTTTGAGATGGGTAAGTGATGTTTATATCTTTATATATTGTAATTCCTTTTATATATCTAATAAGTGAATATTTTATTAATCTCTTTTTTTTAGATATGGATTGTCTTAATGAGGAGATTATCGTCGGTAAATAAAGTTTACGAGTTGAAGCGGAATGGATCAATGAATACATGTGATGAGGCTTTCTAATACTTATTTTCTAGAGAGTTGTTGTTCTTGTTAAATTTTGTTTATTTTGTGAAGGGCAGGAAAAATGATTCAGCAATCTGGAGAATTTGCCCATCTTTCATGCGAGAAAAAAGATTGGGAAATGGAGGATGCTAATTTGTGATGTTGCATTGTTGCTACGATGCACCCTTTTGATATCTAGATGATTACATCCGATTTGTGCTTGTTTGGAAGCTAGTATATGTTGTGAAGAGCTGCAGTTTATATATATTCGAAGTAATGAGCTTTTCCGTAGACGAATTGTGTACAAGTTTTTCCGTCGAATACATATTTCTTGCTCTGTCTGAAGGTGGTAACAGCAGGAGAGCAGCCTCTGGAATCTCGATTTTGTTTCTATTTCTCCGTGCTTCCTAGAATTTGGGTTGCATGGAGGTAATGTTGTTTGAGTTGTTATAATCCAGCAAAGGAACTTTCTTGCATGCGAAATAATTTGCTTAAATTGCTGGTTTTTGTGTGATACTTGGTGGCTACGTAGTTGTAATTTTAGATCAGGGATTGTTGGCATGAATCGAGTCGGGACCATGATTTTGCCATAAGTAAAAAGCACAGGATCTTGAAAGTTCTTGCTGCTTGTTTGTTTGTTGCCTTTTCCCTCTTCTTGGAATTTTATTTTCTCGTGTCGTAGAACGTAGCGCAACAAGCAATTTTAACTTATCTTTGTACTTCTATGTCAGTTTCTCTTTGAAACTATGAAAGTGTGGTTGCTTATCTTCGCTGGCTAGTCTTACTCTTATATTTTTCTTATAAAGGTTTCTTTGTATCTTCACCCTACACCTCCCTTTTGATGAACCATATGAGAAGTTGAGGTTTTTAAGATCTCAAAAGTGACTTCTCCGTGTGAATTATGGGCCCTCAAAGTTGTTTCTTCTTGTCTATTCTCTTTCTTGGAGTAGAATAAGTGGTTAACTATGATTTTTATCTTCTCGTGGGTGAAAGCTGCATCCGTTAGCGGATCTGATTTTCTTTGCTTGATATTTAGTAGTTGCCGAATATATAGTTTGATCCGCCATCAAATATAAGGATTACGATGTGATGCTATATCCATTTTTACAATTTGCTAGAGTAAAAGCTCTAAATTTTTCTTTAGCACATAAAGAAAAAAGAAAAAGCTCTATCTTTACGAATTCTCACATGAGATCTTCTCGTTGAGTATTAGGTGAATTCAAGGTTCTGATGAAGTACCACAGATTTAGGATAGTCTTGCCACCAAAGTTGAACATGTATTTGTATGAACTCATGCAAATATTGAGGTTAGATAGAGTAAAACACAGTTGCTGGTGACAATTGTGTGCAATGAGATGTTGGAGTTGTATTATGATGTGGAAATGTAGTAATTCAACTCGAATTTAGTCGATTTCTATAGTTAATTGGTATGATACTTTGATTTAGGTTCTTTCATTCGGATATGATAATATCTTACTGCATAAAGACCACTAATAAAAGTTCAAGTGCTCTTGGCTAATATGTTCTCATGTTGTTTGCTTGGCAGGAAAAGAGCAACTCCAATGGGTACCATGCATTTGCTCCTCGGGAACAACAATTATGTCTAATGACTGAAACTTAGCTCTTTTAGTACGAATATCTTCGTTTCAAATGTTTAAATTGATAGAAGTAGGATTTAGAGGAGTTGGTGATGTCCTCTTGCACAGCTGCATCCATTTCATTTTGTCATGTCCTCTAACAAGTCTAGTGAGCGAAACTTGGTGACAAGTCTAGTGACTTTTGTTATGTTTCCTCTCTTTTATCTAATGAAATTCCTTGCCAAATAGCAGCCAATTCTGTTTCGTTTGTTGATAATTTTGTTTGTTTTGTATTCTCTCTTATTCGGTATTATTGCATTCATTTTTCGTTTTGTTTAACTAAAAATGAAATAAAAAAAAGGAACTTGTTGGACCCTGGAACCGACCCTGGAACCTGTGACAGGGTAGGTTCCAGGTTCCACGTTCTGACGGGTAGGTTCCAGGTTCCTCATTTTGAGGAACCTGTACCCGAGGGTAGGTTCCAGGTTCCAGGCGGAACCTACCCGGAACCTGGAACCGCTCACCCCTAATTCCCATGAGGTCCGATCCGGTTTCTGGTGTGGAATGACCAACCTAGACCGGTACACGCACATATATATAAAAAAAAACCCTAATCAAGCTAGCTCTTGCACACCCCTCTCCTCTACCTCCTCACGCACGCTCTTTACCCTAGCCCTTTCGACTCTCTTACCTCATCTTAAATGTGTTTTTCTTTTCAATGTATGTTCTCCCTTCTTTGCTTACACCAATGTGACCTCTTAAAAGTTACCACCTTTCTTGCTACGGACCGAGAGTTGGGGTCTCTTTCTTGTATCAATGGGTTTGAATTTGTGTTTGAGATTTAAAGAAAAGGGAGGAGAGAGTTTTGGGTTGGTGTTAAAATGTAAGGAGAAGGGAGATTACTGGCCGAGACCCTAAAATATTTAGTGGCGACTGTGGTCATTGTCATGGTTGCTCTGGGTTTCTTCTTTCAAGGCTCTTTGAAGAGGGTTAGAAAGGTCCGGATTTTTCTTTTCCGAGCTCTCTTTTTTTATCCTTTTGGTTCTTTAAACATTCGAGGAAAGTTGGAAAAAGAATAGAGTAGGGAAGGTTGTCAACCGTCATGGTATTATTTTGATACTGAAGAGAGAATCCTTTTAAGCTTGCACATGCAAAAAGATTGGTTCCATGGACTCATTCGGAAACCGGTGTCACGTCCCGGCCAAGACCGTGACCCGTGGCATACTTGTGACATCCTGTTAAATTGTTATCTTGCAATTACAGACAAGCAGAAGTATATAATTGGGACAATCACAACAACATTCGAACAACGAGGTTAAAGCAGACAATAACAACAAACCATATATTTACATGATATCTATATATTTTACATGTCAAGCCTATTTACATGCCCTTTCTTTTCTTACGGACCAATACACGCATGCATACCTGCTATAACAAAGGTTGGGTTACTCCGAACCCCGCTACTGATTGCTCTTCAAAAAAGTTTCTCCAAAAAGTTCATTTCCCCAAAAACGCTCAGTCATTTCCAAGTCCGATTGGCCAACTAGACCCCATTTGCGGCGGTCCCAGGTGCTGGGTCATGGGCACACCCGAACGGGTCATTAAACCCACGAAGGGGTCCGATCAGTCCACAATCCTCAGTACACTCATACCAGGCTTCGAACACATGCGGAACGTTTTGTTCAAGGCCTTCATTAACCATGATTTGGGAATGACCATATGATATGCTCTCCCTCCGGCCACGTCGATCATCCACAATCATCTCCACATGGGTTCCAAACAGGATCGAAGGAACCGCCATCCTATGGGTCTGAGGGAAAAACAACGAGGAATGAGTCGTCGACTCAATAAGTAAATTCACTAATTTCAAATTAGGAGGAATCAATCGTCATCATATATGCATTCAACCTTACCACCTCGGGTATCGACGGCAGATCAATAGCAAAAATGTGCTCCCCGTCCAAACATCACTCACGATGTAATGCAATTGCCAAGCAAACATAAAACATGGTATTTCCATGATGTACGTATCAACAAACACACGGAATTCATTCGGATCATGCACCATGGCATGCGTACGAGGCGTACATGCCCTTTCTTGCGCTCGAGACGTGTTTAGACTCATACTTTGCTTATATAGACAACCATACAAACAAAATCCGCATTAAATAAAGTCCAAGCATGGTTTAAGATTAAACACTGGCTAATAACGCATCGGGTTATCCTATCCCGAGATTAGGGAATCTACTTACTCTACTCGACAAAGCAAGATTTTGTGGGGACCAAATGAAGTGGTGATTGGCGTGAGCAAGAGGAAGGTGGCGTGAATAAGAGAGAACCGGTTGGTGGGGTAGGCGTGGATGGTGATGATGTGAGGAAAAATGAGACTAAGGAGGACCCAAGCCTATTTATTGTATGATCCACTCATAGTCCTAATGAGCTAAGGCCGAAGTCCATTAATGAAGGGGCCCTAAAGTCTAAGCTTCATTATGATGAGACCTTGAAAGTCTTTGGTCATAATTAAACTTCTTATGCAAGCTTTTAATTGAGGTCATTCATCTCCAACTTGGTCTCCAAGTTTCTACCTTGTGGTCATTAGGCCCTACTAATTCATTTAAGGCCTACGTAAATTATCATGATTTCTCTCTCTCTCTTTACCTTCCTTTGGTCGTGAGCCTCTAAGTTGGGCATGAATGGTAGTCTTGGTATTCAAGACTCAATTATTGAAATCTTCTACCAAATTCTTATCTTTAGTATTGAGGTTTTCTTGGTCAAGTTTTATCATAGACAACTTTCTAAGGAAGTTGTCTATTATTGGTGCTATATCTCAATTAGTAGACAACTTCCAAAAAAAGTTGCTAATTTGTCCTCTAGTCTATAGCTTCTTCCTTGGGCGTGAATCACTTTCTAGAGGTCATAATTATTGACTTGTGCAAGACAACTTTATTATTGACCCAGGCTCTATTATTGGGGGTTGGTCTCCATTATTGATCAACTTGTCCAATAAGTTAGCAATAATCAAGTCATCATGTCTTCTTGGCCAAGAAGCATGCTAGAGCAATAATCAAGTTATCATGTCTTCTTGTCCAAGAAGCATGCTAGGCGTGAATCATATGACTATATCAAGGAAACACTCAATAATTGGGTTCTTGCTTAGTTTTAATGGCACTTCCTTCTTTGGACACTAAGATTTCACTAAACTTGGCTTGGCAAAGAACTAAGAGAATCAAAGTTTCAGGTGCCTTAAACGATCGACCTTCCCATTAGAAATTCGAGGTTCTGGGCCAAATAATGTTCAAGTGATATTGAACCAAAATATGGAATGACCAAGTACCGAACTTGTTCGGACAAGCCCAATTGGGCACAAATTAGCCTGGACGGGCGATGTGCCGGGTTGCACAAGCAGCGTGCCGTGCGTATGGACGAGATGCATGGACAAGGGATCGATTCATTGATCGGACGTACGCATTGGCTCATGAACGGCACAATGCACGGCCTGTGGCCAAGTCTGACAGCACAAAACTGGGTTTGGACCGGAACCCATGGGCACAAAGCCCGGCCAAAGGTAGGGCACAATGTCCGGCACACAGACAAGTACAAGGTCGGCTCGTGGCCTGACTGACGGGCACACGGTTGGTCCATGGCATGTCCAATTCAACGCAACGATCCATGGTCGATTTGCGACCAGTTTATGTTCAAGCATCAACAATCAATGGTCGATCATCGGTTGTCATGTAGCCGCGTGGAATCGAGTACCACGGAGTCGGTCCATGGACGCTCGTGACTGGTGCATGGCCAAGCGAAATCACCCGCGACCGACACATGCCCGCACAACGTCGATCCATGGCCGCCCAGGATCGTTCCATTGCCGACCCTTACGGTCGAATGGTCGATCCATGGTCGAATCACTCTAATCGACTTGCGTGATCAGGAAATCATTTCATTGGCGATCCCTTAGCCGATCCATGGACGATCCTTCGATCGAACCATGACCGATCCTTTAGATACCGTTCCATCCATACTGACCAATCCATGACCGACCCTCGGATCGGTCCACACACCATTTCCAAGGCCTTTTCCTTTGGTCATCTCAGTTCCATTTGGGGTCCAAATTTGTGTATGTTACAACCGGACTGGAAGCTAGACTAGTCCAGTTCCTGGATGGATCTATAAAATCAACGGGCGGTTTACAATTCCTATTTTGTGAAACTAGTCCTTAGTGAATGGTTCTCAATTCTACCGGAAAGCGTACCAAGAGTCGGACTAGTCCGATTCCTGGGTGAATCCATGAAATCGACGGGCGGTTTACAGTTCTCATTTTGTGAAACTAGTCCTTAGTGGACAGTTCTTAGCTTTAGAGTGGAAATCACCCACTCTCTAAAACTAATCACCCCTAATATTATGGATAAATTGAAAATTTCACTATACTAGATCATTTAGAATGGCACAAATTATATTTTATGAACTAAAAAAATATCAAGTTTTTTTAGAGAACGCAAACTCTGGCACTGTCATTGGTGATATCAATGCGCCTATTGAGAAAACCGATGAAATTGCTGACAAATTTATTCGACATTTGGAGGAGTGGGATGCGTCGAGACTAGATGACAAAAATTTTGTTAGAACTTAGCGATCTTCCAACGGGCGTGTCGATTGAAGGACCGGAAAGTAAACCACCAAAACCGTTTCGTGCACCCCAGAATATAAAAAAGACAAGTAGACACTGAAAAGATACTTCATGGTTAGTCTCCAAGATGCTCAGTCTCATTATTGACGTCTAAAATTCATTCACAATGTTAACCAATCTCGACAGGCAGTCCCCGTCCGCTAATTCATTTTACACCTTTGAGGAAGAAAATCTTGGAGGGGGAAAGGAGGGATTAAGCTAACAAAACCATATCAGCAAGGTCTACTCTACCTCTGAAAAGCCAGTCTGGAGCTATATGGTACAAACTGATCTCTTCCAACTAATTCACAAGAACTAACCGGCCAGTCTCGCTTGCTCGCAGAAACTACAATCTACCTAGAAATTGCCATGCCTGTTGTAATTCTGATGAACTAAATCAAACTTGAGAATCGGATCCCTATTCACTTCTCATTCATTGTCATCGGCGTCGGCCTTATCCTCAGCTTCCTCGTCATCGCCTTCATCCTCGTCGTCAGTCATATTATTTATGACCTCAGTAATTATATCCTTGATTTCTGCCTTTCTGTGCATCAGATCCACACCAAAGTGGGTACCTGAAGTTTGCACGCACTGTTAGTCATGATTGTAACAGAAGATTATATAGCCTTCTCTTAATAAAAGAAACATACCAAGTTGCCGGAGAATGTCGGATAAGGTTGCCTGCATTTTAGAATAAATAAATGAGGTTTAGGAAAGCACAAAAAGAGATATTTTAACAATGTAATAACAGATTTAGAAACAAAACGTACAGTATTGAAGTCCACTTTCTTGAGAATATCCACGACAACAGCATGCATCTCTTTTCTGCTGGGTTCAGCTTTCGCCTTTTTGCTACTTTTGCCTTTCCCTGCGTCATGAACATAAACACCCTTAACTACGATTTATTAATTCAGTTCTCAACTGATAAAAAGGGGCGCTGAATGAAGTAAAGATAAAATCACAGTAAACAACTAGTAAACAACAAACTACAAATTTTTAGTTCTGTCACAAAACAATAAGAAATCGGATAAGAATCCCAACAAAAATGTTTTGGCAGAAAATTACAATGCACACAAGTAGACCATTAAACATATTTTTAATATCAATATAGACTTGAGAAGAAAATCAAGAAATAATGTTACAAAGAACATTCTACCGAAAGAAGAAATGACAGTGACAACCATTGCAAAAATAAGTATAGAACTTCATACGACCACATAAGAAAGAACTTGTAAGTATCGCTTTACTTAATGTCCAAAATATAAAAATCTTTAATTATCGACACATAGTTTAGGTAACTAATTTATAGTTTTATCGATCATACAACCAGCATAATCATCTTCACATTTTTTCTCTACCTATAAAATAGCAAAAGTCCTAAAGGACCAATATTCATAACTGTGATAAGGATAATATTTATTAACATATATCACACATTCCTATCATCTGTCTTGCATCACTTGAACCAGGTTACATAAGGCAAACATATTTACCTCGATCCCTGACTGAGGCCTCAGTTGACGGTTTGGTAGACTGTTTCTTGCTAGAGGTTTTCGCCTTTGAGGAAACACTCTGGTCGTTTTGATTGCTCTTTTCAATCTTTTGTTTCTTCGACATGGATCCTTCTGACTTAGAAAGTGATTTTCTACTACCAACCCCATCTACAGTACTCTTCTTTGAGGCTGAGGTGGACGATTTCTTGGCAGATTTTGCAGGAGTGACCGTTTTGGCAGACTCCGAGGTATCTTTGGTTTTGGACACTGAGTTCTCCTTTGTTTTTTTCCTAGAAGAACTTTTCGACACCAGCTCCTTTGGTGTATCCTCTTCCTCTGACTTGCTCTTCTCATCTCCGCTCTCCTCTTTTGACACCATATCATCATCACTATTTACATCAGAATTGTCCTTGACTTCCTTATTATCACCTTTATCATCATCGTCCTCTTCTGAAGCAATCTCAGATGATTTCTTCTTCACAGAGTCAGGTGCTTGTTTTTGTCTCTACAGCAAATGATACACAAAAACAAAAATCTCAAGTGCTTTCCAAGTATCAAAAGTAGATAAAAGGTGGGAGGGTGGAAATAGACAAAATAAAATGCTTAAAACACCCACAACAATCAAAACAATCCCAAATGGAAATGACCTATATATTTTTAATGCTCTGTGATAGTAAAAGATCCCACTGGCACATTATTTTCTTTTTGAACGATGTTGTAGTTATATTCCCATTGTTTTGTAGGCCTCTTTTCAAGAGGAAGAGACGAGACAAATAGGCAATACCAAACATTGCAACACAAAGTGAGTTACTGAACTCGAATAGAACCGAATGCTCTTTAACGCTGATGTACTTTGTCTCTCCCTAAACCTGGCTATTTATGTCGATGTCCCTATCAGTTCTTATATGGAGATAATAACACTGTCAAAAGATGAAAATTAGATCAGGAATCATAGGAGTGAGGTGAAAAAAACAGACAATATGTGGCCAAATCAGTCCTTCCAGTGTAAACTGAGGATGGCTAAACTGAATAACAACATCAGTAAGCTGAGTACCATTTTAAGCAATCACACGATAACTTTAGAAAGAAAAGGAATGAAAAGTAGTGACATTAAGTTCGTAAAAAATACTGGTACATGGTAAAAAAGGGCAGATCTAGAATGGTATTAATACAGCAAAAGAGAGGAAAAGAAACCTTTTCTGTCATCGTACTAGATGCTTCTCCAGGGACTAAAGGTTTGCTTGATGTGATCTTCCTTTTACGCTTTTGGCCCTTCTCAATTAACATTAACTCCATATAAATCATCATCAAGAAAAATTAAATACAAAAGATAGACACTCAAAAGCAACACTGCATGATACTAGTACCTGTTCCTTGTCAGCAAGCAAAACATCAGTAGTAGAATGCGGTGATTCCAGAAATTCCAACAACTTAGCAGAAAGCTCCTCCTGGAAAATGCCCAATCCAATATGGATGAAAGAATGCATATCAAACAGGAAGCTGGAAACAAAAATCATTTGTATCATCACATACCTTCTTCACAGCTGCCTTATTTATTGGAATGTTGAGCACATCACAGAAGTCAATCAACTTATCTTTGACACATTTGTCAAGTTTTTCCTTCACTTTAGCTCTCTGTTTTTCCTGCTAGAGAAAAAAAAGAGAACTGAAAGGGAAGCATCTACAATCCTTCAAATGAACATTCATAAAATCTTCCCAAATATTAAAATGTGTACACAGAAAATCTCCAAAATAAACCCATATCTCCTGGGATCACAAAACAAGCCAACACGATTCAAAATATGTAGGTGCAAAAGACTACAAACCAGAAGGCTCTGAAAAGGCATATACCTGATTCTCAGTCCACACATAGCCAGAAAATTGGCCTATGTTTCTCTTCAAGCTGTGCACCTGCATGTAATACGCCATGTATGATGTCAAGTGACAAACAGAGACAACATCTAAAGGCGCTGTCAAGTTTCTTCAGAATGCAATAATTATGATCAGAATGTAACCAAATAGCAGTACTCTCAACAAACTATTCGGAAATACACTTATAACCTACAAGTGCCCCCCTTTTACCACCTAGTCTAGTACCTACAGCAACCAGGCGACAGCAACTATCAAACCAAGCATCATAATTTCCATATAAGTATGTGTTCTTTCAAAGCTATTTTTATTGGCTCCTACTTTCAAAACCTCAACCTGTTTGAAATACAACACAGCACACCTAACACAAAATGTTGAATTCATCTAGTTCTCCTAAGGAGAACCTTATTGATCGAATGAAAAGGGTGGACTACTTTTTCAACTATCCTTTTCAAGGTTTTTTAGGAGATTTGCTTCTTTCAAATGAAGCTTTGGGGGCTCTTGCAGTGAAGAGGGTTCAATTAACGAAAAGGATGAGAAATAATTATTCAAAGATTAAAAGAATCAGATGCAAACTCTATGACCCATGGTTAGTTAAGCTTGTTTCCGTTCGTTTGAAGCCAAGATTTCACCGACTCAAGAGAGCAGTTGGAAGACATCACATCATCCCTCCCACTATGTAAATGCTCACGTTTATCCCCTCAAGCAGACAACCACCCTCCCACTTCATGAAACTGAGATTGTCCTCCCTCTTTCCCTCTCATGCATTCTGGTTTTTCTGGTTTCAAGAGATGGACCATTTTCTCTCTCTCTCACTCTCTCTTTTTATGACTTGGCTCGAGAATCTGAGACGGACTTGAAGAAAACGCATCAAGTGAAAACTTCATATATTGGCAACACAAATAAAAATAGAAGGCTTCAGTCCAAAATGAAAACCGCATTTTCACTTAAAAATTGAAAAGGTGTGGAAACAACAAAAAGGTCGTTTCACATTTTCACTTAAAAATTGACAAAAGGAGTACCGCATCTGCATGTTTTCCTTTCCAACTGAAAACGAAAACACAAATTTGGAGAATTCAAACCAAATAGGCCCTAAGATATCCTAGAGAGATGTCAGTCTTCTGATTGTCTTAGAAGAATAGCTTCCCGAATTGGTTGGACAATTTTAATTACTGAATGCATGAGAAATAACAGCACAATAGAAGTGCAGTCCAAATCTGGAGCTAAACGATAGTAAGTGCACAGGTCAACTTCTCTAACTCAATAATGCAGCTTTCTGCGAAGTTGCTGAAACAAAAGTAATTTCAAATACCCCAATCATACAATGCTTTCTCTATAGTTGCTGAAGCAAAAGTCATCTCAGACACCCCAATCATACAAAAGCTACAGGTGCGATTTGATAAACCCAAGGTTAATGAGGGAATAAGAACTAAGAAATGATGGATACCCTTTATTTGACTTAAATCTTCACAAAGTATGTAATTCACTAAATTGGACTGCAAGATGATGAAGCATGATATGAATCCACAGGGAGCAAAATTTTGCAAGCAACATTCTAATGTGGTATGTAATTCAATTGTAGCGAAACAGCCAATGATATGATTTGGTTAGTTAATTATAATTCTCAGCTCTAATCAAGGACGTATCTTCCGCCATGCTAGGGACAAAGATGGGTGTGTTAATTTATTGAAAATATGAATAAAAAACAATTTAGAACAAATCTAGTTGTAGATTGTTTATCTAAGCAACTGCTTTTGTCAATCAACAGAAAAACAAAACTGTTTGTGCAAACTATTAACTCCATGATTCATGGCATTCTAGTAAACAACCACTAGACTAGGTAGGGCGAGTCTTCGAGCCTCTACATCTAACTGCACACCCTAAAAAAAAGTGGCGCAAAGGAAGTATAGCCAATAAAATTAAATTGAAAGGTCACCTTAGCTTTCTTTCCAAAAAGTACCGCATGAAGTATTTGCAGGTTGTCATCAGGTTTTCTCTTCGATAACTTGAATGCAACTGAAATATTAAAAAATATCAGGATAAAAAGTGAGCTGCTGTAAACAGGAGGAAATAAAATTTAAACAGTGTCACCCACGGGGCTAAAGAGCGGTCACCTAGACAAGATAACAAAAACAAATGGAAGCAAGGAAAATTCAAAGTCCCACAAGCACAGAGAAGAAAGTGAAACACCTACATTGCCAAAATTTCGCATCCAAAATTAAAAAGGATTGCACTTACAACATTTATATATCTTCAGACCACTAGAAATTTCTGGTGACACGTTTTCAGTCTAATTGATCCTCCAAAAGAGCAAATTAAGAAGCCTAGATTAACAGACCTACCAATCAATATGCCCACTGCACAGGGTTCTTTATTAAGCCAACTTAACTTACTATGCATTCTAAGATGCTGGTTTGAATAAAAACTTCATCAGTTCTCATATGATATTACAAATGGTATTCTTCTCCAAACAAATCAAACCACAATATGAATCAAAAACCACTTCAAATTTAAGCAAGCTGTTAAGTTTAATACAAATAACTAAACAATACGACACCTGACAATGTTATTCACTTGCTTAGTAAATGAAGATATCATCGCACAACCATCTTGTGGAAACATGCAAGTCTGAGTACTAAGTCATTAGCATTTTTCCCTGAACCTCTGCATAGCCTTTCAAAGTATAAAAGGTCTCACTAATAATAAGTACTCACTATATATCACTACTTTTTGACTTCATCTAGAACACGAATTATACCCTATGTCAAAGGCACAATAAGCTTGTGCTAACAGTATATAGTCACTATATATCATGTCATTTGACTGCTTTCGAAACGATAATAATAGTCAATGTCAAATCTATATAATAAGGAAACATTAAAGCCAAAACCACAAGTTCATTTGAACAATCCTTTTCCAAAACAAGCTAGCCACGCTACTATTTTCCTCGATATTACAACTAAGCACTAAAAATGGCGACTTGACAAGCATATTTTGTAAGCCTAACAAAAATTTTATCACCCATAGAAGCACCTACTTATGCTAATTCATGTTCAGAGATGTGCTAGCGGGCAATAGCAACATCTAGGAGATAACTCTCATGAGCTAATAACTAGCTAAAGCATTACCTTATAAAAATATTTTCCATGTCATGTACTTTCCAAAACCAACATCATGTATCTGTAGCTAAGTCCTAGTATGCCTTCAACACACATCCCGCTATTTATAATAATGAGAAGGACTAAAGGCACTACGTAAAGAAGCTTTCCCAGGGGTAGAAAGGCAAGAAATTGGTCACGACTAGATTAATTGTAGTACAAGCAAACTGCTTGACTATCGTTTAGCACCAAGGAAGCTGAAAAATTCTTAAAAAGGGAGAAAGAGAAGTGCCAAGTTACGGCTTGTTTGGTAATGTTCTAGAAAGCTATTTCGTGATTTTAGAAACATAAAACAGTATTCGCTCAAATGCGAACCTTCGAGAAGTGTTCCAGAAGATAAAAGTATGCTTGAAAATACCAAAATATTATTTTTAATGATTCCCAGGTCTGCTCTCCGTTTGATGAAATAATTATCACTTACTACTGACCAGGAGCAGCTAGCCTTCAAAAATATTCTCTGTGGGTAATTTGCAAAACTTCAAAAGGCTGGGTATCTGGTAGAGGGCATGAAAGAACTTGTTGCACAGAGGTACGTGAAGAAGCTTGAAGAACTCTGAAGAACAGAACGGTGCATCCTAGCCAAATGCTGACACTAAAATTTGTTTTTCTGATAATCGCAATCTCAATTTCTGTTTTGCTACTTCAAACCATAGAAATGCTCCAAAAATTGTGATGGAGAGTTCATGATCATGAAGGCGATACTTCCCCAAATTACTCATATTGATGGACCATTAGCTGTGCACTTTCAACAAAAATCAAACAAGCAAAAGTTCATAAACAGAAGCTCACGCCAGGCAGTATATTATTCTTGCCATTACACCCCACAAGATGGTTGGATTTCAGCCAAAGTGACTGTGGATATGACGATAAGCGAATATTCAAACACAAATTTTTGGCAAAGAGTAATTAGACTATAAAGCTTGATGTTGCCTAGGATGCAGATTCTCCAGGCATATAGACTACAATCTAGCATGCAGATTATTAAGGAACAGACATCACACAAAATGTGAAACATGGCAAAACCATCTTTACAGGGTAAATCAGCCTCCACACAGCTTGAGACATTGAAATATCCAGGGCAACATAAACAAATTCAAGACAATGAACCCGGAAATAGTTGAAGGGCACGTGCCGTTCAACTCAAAAAAGCATATATACTAAGATAACAAGTAACTCCCCGCAAGAGAACTACTGGGCAAAGAGGGCGGCAGACCCACTGTAAAACTTGAGGAAACAATTAAAGCTGGAAACATACCATTGGGAATGTCCTTAAGCGGTATACCACGACCCTGAAATACCAGCAAGCCATTAATCCCTTGGAAAAAAGATTAAAAAAAGAAAAAAGAGAGTCCAAGCCTGGCAGTACCTTTTCGATGGAGAAGCCCCTGCCGGAGGGCGTCCTGACGAGGGCAGGAGCGGAATACCGCTCCACCGATCTCCTTTCTCTGGTGGGCCGCTCGATTCCGGGCGTCGCCGGATCTTTCTTCGCCGCGCCCGATCTCTTCCGCCTCTTGGGCACGCTCCGTTTCTCCACGAAGCTCCCACCTTTCGGATCCTCCTCGCTCTCCTTCTCTTCCGGGGCGTCGTCCCCGTCGTCGTCATCTTCGGCCGCTTCCTCGTCGGAAGCCTCGGTCTCCTCCGGAGCGGCGATCTCCCGGTCCTCTTGCTCCGGCTCCGGCTCCGGCTCCTCCTCCTCCTCCTCCTCCTCTTCTAATTTCTCGGGGAGGTCCTCCTTGCCCTCGACGGGGGGAGCAGCCGCCCCTTCGGGCTCCGCGGCCTCTAGGGCTCCGGAGGCCATGCCGAGGAGGAGTCGCGGGAGGAAGCGCGGGGGGGTGGGGAAGGGGTACCGAAAACCCTAGCGAGCGGGAGAGGTTTGGGCGTGTGGGGGGAGGGAAGAAGGTAGAAGGAGAAGCGGAAGCAGGGGTGGGATGGATCTGATCTGGAAGGTGGGGAGAGGGAGGGAGGAAACGATCGGCTGATTTGCGCGCGCGCGGAAAGGTTTATCGAGAGAGAAACGAAAGAGGGAGAGAGAGAGAGAGGGAGAACAGCGAGGGGGGGACGATCTGAGGAATCAGCAGAGAGAGAGAGAGAGAGAGAGGGAGAGAATTTTGGGGTGAGGGCGGGCAGATTGCACGAGAGGGCGGGGTTCAAAATGAAAAAGAAAGAAGCTTTGGGGAATTTCATGTTCGGGGAGAGAGCGCTCTTTTCTTTTTGTGTCCATCGCGCTTCCTTCCGTGGCTAATAATAATGTCGCCTCTCTCTCTTTGCACCCTTCTTTTTTTAAGGGGAAAATTCCATATAAGAATACGAAAGGACCTCATTTTATCAAATAAAGACTTGAAATAGTCATAGTAGTTTCAAATAAAGGCGTGACTTTGACGGTTTGTCAAGGGCATTTTTATCTAAAGATAATTTTCATTTTAAATTATTTTTTCTTTTTCCTTTTTCTTTCTTCCTTCCTTTCCTTTTTTCTGGTTCTCTCTTTGTTCTTTGCCGGTGGCCGGTGACTGGCCACTGGCGAAGCCCGAAAAGGGCTCGTGCCGGTCACCCTCACCCGATCTGGCAAGACCCTTATTTGAAGCTGCATCGGCGAGATTGGCAGCGAGAGGCCGACCCACTCCCAAATCTGGCGAGGGTCGCCTCCACCAGGCAAAGGTTGTCCCCCGCATGTTACCAATGAGGGTGGCCCTTGCCCAACCCTTTCTTGGGCTTCACTGGTGGTCAGACATCGGCAAAAAGCAAGGAAAAAACCAAAAAAAGGAAAAAAAAATTCAAAAAATTTAAAAGACGAAAATACCCTTACCGCATGGAAAGTCGACCCTTTGCGAATGAGTTGACTGAGAAAGTGCTGAGCTAGCCAATCCGAGAATACCGATCACGTTGTCATTTATACGTACCATAATTGATCATAAATGCAGATTGTTGCTGGGAATATATTGGTAGATGCGGATCGAGCATAAAGGAAAGAAATCGGCGCACGGATGTCCTGGCTGGAATGTAGATAACCTTTGCGAATGATTGTGTTGTATTTTGATGATGTTCCGACATGTTTAGCTATAACGATATACGTCCCCCAAACGAGATCACGTTGTGATGTAAACTGACTTTGAGACTCCTTACGGTGATTGGCTAAAGCAGGGCAACCGCCCCCATGGCAGTGAGCACCGGTATGGGACGTTAAATATGAGAGTCGCCACCTTTTGAGGGTCGAGTCTGGGTGCACGCCCGCATGAGAGAGATTGTGAAGCGATAGCAACTACAATGCGAAAACCTGATTGGTAGGAATCTGTAAGTTCCAATTCTAAAATATTGAGGGTAGATTCCATATTTTAAAAATTACGAAACCTGTTTCGATGGGTAGCTTTTAGGTTATAGGTAGGTGAAACCTGAAACTTGAAATCTTAAACAAGTTTTTTGTATTTTTTTCTTAGTCTTTGTTTTCACATGATCCCTCGGTGTTCTATGGCGTTAGATAATAAGTGTATAATATGGAATCACTAGTTTGAGTTTTCATTTTCATTTTATGACTTGTTAACGTTTCAAATTTTTCATATATCTAATATAAGTTGTAATCAATGGATTGTAGCAGTAAGTGGTAGTTATTAAAGGTGATGATTCACTGCAATTGTTTAATTAATAATACACGTGAAATCTAAGTAGACCCTAAAATCGACTCTGGAACCCATGATAGAGTAAGTTCCAGGTTCCATAAAATGAGAAACATGTTCCTATGGGTAGGTTTCAAGTACGGAATCTGGAACCGCTCACTCCTACAACACGATACCGGTCATCCTCCCCCACCACCTCGCAATGGCCATCACGCAACCTCAAATCTTGCACGTGATGAGGAGGAGGGACCTTGAGAGGGGGAGGAGAGAAAAAAATTGGTGAAGGACGACTACTACTCAAGAAGGTTGGGTATTAGAAAATATCCCTAAAGAAATTTTATGGTAGCAAAACTTACTTTAAATATTTCATGAACGTAATTAAGGGCGCAAAAGTTCGTATTTAAACCATGCAAAAGCTAAGTTCTGATTCTACAAACATGTAAGCGCAATTTCACTAAGTCTACTGCAAAATTAAGGGTGCAAAACAGCAACCTCTCGATTAGCACTCTTTACATATAGATTTGGCAACTGTTGGAGTTTCCAAATCTACGTATAAAAAGTGCCGCAATAGTCGCCACATCCGTATCAATTGGCACCTTTACGGATGTAAAATGTGCAAGCTTACATATAGATCGCTCCAAACGGTACACTTGTCGCGATCCAAGTGTAATCTTTGATTTTGGAGCTATATGGATTGAAGAAAACTCGACCATAAGTGATATACTCGACTAGGGCGATAACAAGAGAATTTGAGTGCCGTTGAGAGGTTTTTAAGTGCGTTTCTTTTGTAAGCTAATCATGCCCATTTTGAATAATATTCATAAAAGTTATCAAGAGTGACGGTCGTATTTGTAAAACACGCGAGAGGGAGTGATTGTACATAGAAGCGATTCTTTATAGTTGGCCTGCGTCATCTGTGGCGTGTCAATTGTTGTCCTTGTTTTTTTTTTTTGGTAAGAAGAAAAGACTGTTCATTGATATCTAGTAAAGACAGAATCCACTTTCGGGGTCTCAAAACAAAGCAGATCTCTAAGGGCCTGCGGAGGATGAGTCAACCAGTGTTCAGTGAGTGCTTTTTTATTATGTCGTAACTATTCACGCAATCAAAAAGGTCGTCTGCCACAACTTTTTGGTTCGACCAAGCGGATTGAATGACAACTTCTTCTGCATGGTACCCTTTTTTGAATTTTATTTTCGTTGATACAATAATTGCTCATACGTTAAGATCGACATGTATGTGGTTGTGTAACAGATTCATAGCTTGCTCATCCACTGAGATGTGTAATTTTGGAAGATTACTAAAAGAAGATAAATTAGTATGGATTTATTTTTGTTACGAGAGAAATGTAAGTTTGGCTTTAATCAAGCACTATACATTAAGATCCCTTGTCCATGTGGCAAAAAAAACCAAAACCTGAATTCGTTTAAAAATTTATGGATGACTCAAGCCGAGTTTTCACCGCTACCTTTCTGCCCCCATCCATAATCCAACTCTTGAGCTCTCTCACTAACTCAACAAGCCGATCCATGGAGCCGCCTATACTTCGATAGTAACAATTTAATGAGAAATTTTGCTAAAAGTGACTTTTGGGTCAGGTGTGGATCCTAAAATTTATATTGTATTTAAATGGGTCAATTTGGATTGGATTATTTTCGACAAAATTCAAACCTGACCCGATCCACTTGTTTAACGGCCTCAGTGGAGAGGACACTACGTATTTGCTAAAGTTTGAGGAACTTAAATGCATCCAAGTTAGCTCTTTCTCTTTCTCTTGCTGTCCAAAGGACTACCGAAGTGCCGATGACCAAGCCCACATGTTGAATTCAATTCCTGCAAATCTCTAGCGCATGATGATCATTCTATTTCTCTGTCTATTTTTTTGTTCTCGGAAACAGGTTTTGAACAGAAATCCATTTGACAACGCAATTTCATTTTTCTATTTATGGAACAAATTTCTACTCTAGAAATAGGTTTGGAACAGAAATCAGAAGTAAATTTTTTTATTTATTTCTGAAACAGAAATGAGAAATAAAAACTCTTCTCATCGCTTGCCCTCACTACTAGCAGGCCGCCCACCCGCCCTCCGTTGTTGCCGCCGGCCGTTGTCCTCCACCGCCTACCGTTCGTCATTGTCCGCCGTTGTCCTTTGCCGCCGGCCGTTGTCCTTCGCCACCTACTGTTCGTTGCCGTCCTTCGCTGCTGCTCGCCGACCGCCCCCCACCGTTGATCGCCGCCATCCGCCTCCTGCCGCTGCCCAACACAGGCCACCTCCTGCCGCTGCCCGCCCGCCCATTTGCCAAACGCTTTCGGCCGTCCCCTACCGCTTGCGTCTCGTCATCGTCCTCCACCGCCGGCCACCGTCCTCCACTACCGCCCAACGTCGGCCACCTCTTGCCGCCGCTCGCCTCCCGTTGTCGGTCGCCTCCCGCCGCCGCCCGCCGGCCACTCGGGAGTGAGAAATTTTGTGTCGTTATCAAACGCATATTTTGGCTCAGAAACTCGTCCATAAAATAGAAATAGAAAAATCTATTTCTAGTCAAAAATTGATTTCTGAAACAGAATGGTTGTCATTCGCGCCCTAAATCTCCAAAACTTTGCTCGCTCATTATAGGAACGCAAAGGCACTCCCACTTCCGAAATCGAAAAGGAGAATGGACATCGTCTCTGTAGCTACGTTCATCATACTCCTCCTCATGTGACAAGCCACGGATCTGATCCACATGTTCTCGAACTGCAGTCTCCCTCCCGTCGCCATCGCTGCCCTCCTTCTCTTCATCTTCTGCTCCGCCTTCAGCGAGGACATCACCGGCAAAGTCGTCCTTGTCACCAGAGCTTCCTCTGGCATCCACAAGTTTGTCGATTCCCTCGGCCCCCTCGTTTCGAGTTTTTCCCTTTTTCGTGCCGTCATTTCTTATGCGAAATCGACTCCCCATATCTAGATCCCTTTTTGAATGGGGGCAAACTTAGCAATTAATGATGTGTTTTTGCAAATCTTACTAATCTAAGTAAACAATTTTAGGCATTCTATTTTTAAAATAATGGGCTGCATGTTCAATAACGCATGTCCGCGAACTAATCATTTCTTAATAACTACGCGATTGTCTATCATGATTCCTAATCATGGGGGCAAAAAGTAAGGAAATGTGGAATAATAGCCTCTCTTGTGGTATTCTTGGGAGTCTTGTCGGGGGCGACATTGAAAATATACAAAAAAAACACAAGATATATTAGTAGGTCATCAAAAAATGAGGGGGCAATTGTTATTTGTTCCCCACATCATGTCACATCACGAGGCATTCTCAGCCGTGAGGCAGCCCCGCCTTAGATAACGTGGATCCGACGTGTAACCAAGGATATATATGCACCCGCATCATCTAAGAATTTTATTCCACGGATAGTCCCTATCGTGGATGCTATGGCACGGAGAGTGAAGGGCGGGCTGGTGTTGTTCCCTTGGCCATTTGGTGCAAAATTTAATAGTTGCGCACTTCAATTTATTTAGTTTTGTATAACATTTCTATATCTGGCACCATGCGCAAAATTTGTGTATCTTGTCCTATCAATTCAAGAGAGATGCCATGCATATTATGATTACCTTAGTCATTGCGTATTGAGCGTGGGCTACTTGGTTAAATGTGCATCTGTAGAATTACTGCAGCACTTGACTAAGTATAACAAGTTGAAGAATAGTGAATTAAGCACCTTGCTTACTCATATGCCGAGAGAGGGGCATGCTTGGCGCTGGTTGCTAGAAGAGAGAATCGCCTGAGAAGTGTGGCCAACTTGGCTTACCAATTGGGCTCTCCTGATGTGGTCATCATCCAAGGAGATATGTCCATGGCTGAAGACTGCGAGAGGTTCATCAATCAAACAATGGACCGCTTTGGCTGCTGTAAGCACGCCGCTATTCACGATATCTTTTCATTGATAATTGATTTGTTGATCATAGGGTTAACAATAGCGCACCGTTTGATGTCGTTTTGATTCGTGTCGAGACAGTGGATCACGTGGTGACTAATGCTGGGATAGCTCCCACCTACATGCTTGAAGACTGCCCCGACATCACTAAACTCGCACCTGCAATGGTATAAATTATAACTCATATCTAATATAATTCCATGAACTGATCTCCTTTTTTGATGCAAATACACTGAATTGAAGACATTTTCAACCACTGATCCTGCAATACACGGCCCAAATTTTTCTTCGAACATAAAGAAGATTGGGAAGTGGGAACTTGAATCTGGAAAGCATGTATCTGATGTGCGACTTATGAAGGACACCAATTTCTGGGGCTCGGTGTATAGCAGTTACATTGCTCTTCCCTACCTGAAGAGAAGAAGAGCAAAGATTGTAGCGATAGCTTCGGCAGCTGGGTGGCTTCCAGCCCCAAGAATGTCCGTCTACACTAACTCATAAGGATGGCAAAATCACTTCATCTGCATTCCTCAGTCGGCCGAATTATTATTGTTAAGAAATAGCCATTTCCTATAACTTACCCTCAGTCGGGATAACCATAACCACGGGCTTGATTGAATCGGAGATGACTCAAGGAAAGTTCCTTTCAAAGGAAGGTCGCATGGTTTTGGATCCTCAACTGAGAGATGTAAGGTTTTTTCGTGTACTGTGGAAGTGTATAAATCATAAAAGATATTCGTGCAGTTTCCATTTTCTGATGAGGCTTGTTATATACCATCCGGTAAAAATAAACATCACAAGAGGTCAAAATCTTGCCTGAACGGGACTAGCATGGGACAAGCTTTTTCCATCTCATGAATTCGATTTGTTTCAATTAATCCCAGTTCAATGACTCCCTGTGGTTGTTAGAACGCGCCGACTGCTCAAAAAGGATAATGTCAATGGGTACTCGTGTTATTATTTAGGTGCAAGTGACTGCAATGCCGATAAGGTCGGTGGAAGTGGCGGCGGAGGAAATAGTGAAGGGAGGCATGCCGCGGAGACATCTACTTGACGGAACGAGCGTGGGTGAAGTTGACCTTCTACCGGAAGGTGTTTTGCCCCGAGGTACTTCAATGGTGCAACAGGTTGCTGTTGTTGGCTGGGACCAAGATCTCATAGAGGAATGCGCTTAGCCGCAAACTATTGGAGCTGAGTCACCTACAAGTTCCATATATATTCCAAGGTATACAGGGTAAGTTTCAGATTCCAAAAATTGGAAAACCTGTTTCGATGGGTAAGTTCCAGATTTTAGGTATGTGGAACCTGGAACCTGAAACCTAAATAAGTTTTTTGTGTTTTTTCTTGGTTCATATTTTCACGTGATCCTGTAGTGTTTCATGACATTAGATGATGAGTGTATAATCTGGAACCACTAGTATGGGCTTTCATTTTATGACTTGTTAATGTTTCATATTTTTCGTGTGTCTAAATATAAGTTGTGGTCAGTGGATCATAATAGCAAGTGATGGTTATTAAAGGTGATGATTCACTGCAATTGTCCATTAATAATACAGGTGGAACCTAGGTAGACCCTAGAACCTGTGATAGGATAGGTTCCAGGTTTAAAAAATGATGAACCTATTCTTATGGGTAGGTTTCAGGTTCTAGGTGGAACCTGTATGGAACATGGAACCGCTCATCCCTAGTATCGATTCACACAATGACTTCTCATTTTGATTGTTTTTATTTGAACCGTAATACCAGGAAAACTAGTATTTTGTATTCTTTTTTGTGAATGACAAGCTTGTTAAGTATTATTACGTTCATTTTCGTTTTATTTAACTAAAAATGAAATTAAAAAAACGAACCTGTTAGACCCTGGAACCTATTATGGAACCTGTGACAGGGTAGGTTCTAGGTTCAAGGTTTCGACGAGTAGGTTTCAGATTCCAAAAAATGAGGAACCTGTACCCGAGGGTAAGTTCTAGGTTTTAAGTGGAACTTATAAGGAACCCGAAACCGATCACCCTAAAGCTGACCGGGTTAAAACAATTTCCTTTATTCTCCATCTGTTCAATTCCCAGACCTGGCCGGAATATGTCGGTAGACCAGGTCATTTCCGATGCCATTCAACACGTCTGCCAAGAGTAGTTGTTCAAAAGTACCCAACTCTTGTCTTTGAGTTCAGTGTATATGTCATGTATACGAAATCTTGGTCATGACTGATATTCGCTCAGCTGTACTTACACCCCAAATAAACGTGCCTTTGCTCCTGGACGAAAAAGCCTATGTACATATGGAATCACAATCCTATGATAGCTCGTGTTTCGTGTAAGTTTACGCTTTTGGTTATGCTCTGGTTTGCTATGTGGTCTCTGCCCTGCATGGAATTCAGATTACTTTCATAGTCCTTCATATTACACGTGGAGTAACCACAGGATGAGCTTGTACAGCAGCTCATTGTTTGATCTGAAAGTGGACTTACGATGCGATTTATGTTTGAATGGACGGCAATGTGACGCTTCAAGATCAAGCCCCTGCGCTTCTTGAAGCCCTTGGCAGAGTGATGTAAATCCAGCGATTGCACCACTCAGTGACCTGAGGAAATAGGACCTTCCACGGATAAAAGACACTCGTCCAAAATGGCTCCGTCAAGTACATGTCCCCGCGGCACGCGCTCCTCACTATCGCTTTCGCGGCTCTTTCCGTGGACTCCACCAGAATATATCTCGATTTACCCTGTCACTCAGTCAAATGAGTTGAATCTGTCATGAGCTCATTATCACACTCGCTAAATTCTTGATACCAATGATCTTAGATCGACGCACGCAATACCGATATCTACCTTTGAGGAATGCCGAGGCATTGTCATTTCTGACTTGATGAGTCCGGGTGTTACTATTGTTATGCCCACAGAATCCCCAATTTCGGTTCTCAATGTCTCGTAGAAACTAATAACAGCAGCCTTGCTAGCCTGGACCATCCGACAAGGCTGATGTGAGGTTAATGCACGCGAATCACATAAGCTCAATTTCAACTAGTAATTTTTCGTATAAGCTATGGCTGGAGGAATGATAATTGGGAATGTTGAACTTAGAGGGAAGATAGAGGGTGAATTTTACACTGTAGAAGCACAATCCTGGAACGGGGTACCATCCTACACAGGAAGCAATGACAGCAATCTTCCCTCTGCTCTTTTTGAGGTGAGGAATGGCGTAATGGGTCCCGTAGACCGTTCCCCAGAAATTCACATCCTAACGAAATGAAGAAGCAAAAGGATGAAACACCTGTTATAAAAATAAAAAAAAAAAGCTACAAAGGAGTCTGATTTGGCACAGTTTGTACAAGCAGTCGAGCACTTGCATGTCCTATACATTAGAAGAAGGATAGGATGAATTACCATGACGCGAGTGTAGTCTGATATGTGGCTAAGATCCTCGAAGAGGCCATGTTTCGCGATCCCAGCGTTGTTTATCAAATGGTCCACTGCAATCAACATTGTCGTTTACAGCAAAAAGGGCACTTGACCGCTCCCAAAAAAACATGGGAAATGAAAATAGTAAAGAAGAAATAATACAATCAGCTAATGATTTATTTCCATTTATGGTGTCGTTCTTAATTGTCAAGCTATGGACTCAAAAAGGGGGGAAAATGAAAAATAGCTCTTCTTTTGGGCTGTTTAGTAGGTTTCAACTTGGCATTTATGGGAAAATTTTCCAAAAAGTCTTAAATTTATTGCAATTTTGTTAATTCAGTTCTAAACCTTTTAATTTTGTCAATTGAATTTATCCAGTCAATTTTGGCTAGAAATTGCTTACGTCGACGCCGGCCGTGCCATGTAGGATCGCCGGTATTGTCGTGGACAATTTTTAAATAATATTTTAATATTTTTCGATGTTTTTTTCTTTTCTTTTTTTACATCTCTAGCTGGTGAGGGCGTTGCGGCCCTCACCCAGACCAGGCATGTGGCTAACGACCTCGCCAGCCAGAGGTGAAAGAAAAAAAAAATTCAAAAATGTTAAAATATCATTAAAAATTGTCCACTTCAACGCCAGCCGTGTCACGCAGGATGGCCCGGCTCCAAGTCAACGATTTCCGGCCAAAATTGGTCGGATTAACTTGATTGGTAAAACGTGAAAATGTTTATGACTCAATTGGCAAAATTAAAAGAATTAGGATAGAACTAACAAAAGTGCAGTATGCTTAAGACTTTTAGGATAATTTTTCCTAACATTTACCATAAATAGATTCGATCCCAATCCCCATTTCATCGCTAGGCCATAAGTTTAATTAAGTAAAAGGCGATGCCGGACGACCCATTTCTGACTTGAATTTCAAATCTATGATGGTATATCACAAAAATTTGAAACTGGGATAATGATACAAACAATCTCTGAACTTTACCCCAATGTGTAATATGGTCCTTGAACTTTTAATTTATTCAATGTAGTCCATAAACTTTAGCCTAATGTTCAATGTGGTCTCTAAATTTTAAATTTATTTAATGTGATCCCTAGATTTTTGTTACACGTTCAATGTAGTCCTTGAACCATATGAAAATGATCAATATAGTCCATGAATTGGAATTAATGGAATGATTGTATTGAACATTTTCATATAGTTCAAGGACTATAAATTGAACATACACCGAAAGTTCAAAGATGACATTGAACAAATTAAAAGTTCAAAGACCATAATGCACATTGGGTTAAAGTTCAACGACTACATTGAACAAATTAAAAGTTCAGTGATCACATTGTACATTGAATCAAAGTTTATAGATTGTTTGTCATTTTCTCTTTGAAACTCGGATCTTGACGTCATTAGGACCTTTTCCTACATGCTTTAAGGACACAACTTCGAATGCATCCCCGCGGCCGGTCTGCTTCTTAATCCGGCGGCTCGGAAATTTCATCGCGGTTGCGGGAATTGACTAACTGATGTTTTCCTGTCTACTCTGTGGGCTCGCACAGCCCATTGGAGAAGACTAATCAAACTTGACTAATTCATGTGGATCGTCCTAATCTTTGCCCATGACGTATAGTCTATCCATAAGGTCAAACAAAAGAGAAAAAGCCAAAGCAAAGAACAGGAATGTCATCACGAGGTTATAGACCACTTACGCCGGCCAAAGTGGTCGACCGTGCGGTGAACGAAACGTTGGGAGTGATGGTCGTCGGAAACATCCGCTCCGATGGTGATCACATCCGGGGACCCGAGCAGCCTCGCTTTCCCGGCCACCGCCTCAAGGTCTTCCTCCCTTATGTCCACCAGAGACAAGCACGCCCCTCTCCTCGCGTATTCATACGCTATTTGCTGCGAACACCATTTGTGTACAAAATTAAAATCAAATCGCACGGCAACAGTAAATAACTAAGCCTATGCATGAAAGAGCATGAACTGAATAACCTCGCCAATCCCTGAGGCTGCTCCGGTGACGAGCACAACTTTTCCGGCGACGTCATCCTCAACGTGCATGAGACATCTCTTGATGAGCCTGAGCAATACGAAGGCGACGTGAAGGGGTAACCACGAGAGAAGGGCGAGTAGGGCGAGCGGAGGGAGCAAGAGGTTGAAGATCTTGTGGATTAGATCCATTTGGGTTTTGGCTATCTAACTAGGAGCTGAGCTGGGAACTAGAACGGAGGCGCATCAGAAGGGAGGGTTGAGACCATTGGGTAACTTTGGAGAGCTTTGAGTTTTGGTTGACCAAGCTTGCGTTTGCCTCTTTCAAACAAGTTTAAGGAGTTGGGGGGTAGGTTAACGTCAACGTCACAGTCCTTTTTTTGTGACATTCAATGCCATAGCCACTCATGTCATGCCACCTCGTCTATGACCTCGTCTATGAGTGTTTGTATCATACATGGATGAGTGATTCCGTGAAGCTACCGAATTATTTTTGATAAAAAAAGGAAGGTTATTATCACGAAAAACCTAAAATTGGTATACCTATTTACTCTATATTAATTTTTTAATCATAAAAAATTTCTGATAAATTTATCGATACGTTAAAATAAGTAACGCAGTACTATCAGCTCGCCAGGCATATACATCTGAATAGGCAAGACAGCTCCAGTCGGAAGCATATGCTTCCCTTGCTTTGGTGAGTTACGTTTGGTAACCACCACCAAGGATTCAAGTTTGGAAATTGAACAAAAATCTAAAAATTATTACTGTCTCCGTATTATCCAAGTCAGTGTCTCATTCTCTTGCTGTCGAAAGGACAGGGGATGACCAAGCCCACGTGTCGAATCCGGTCCATGCAAATCGCTACGTTTCCTAGAACTTTGCTCACTCACTTTAGGAACGCAAGGCAAAGGCACTACCACTTCCGAAATCAAGAAGAAAGAATGGACATCATCTCCGTGGCTACGTTCATCATCCTCTTCTCCACGGGACGAACTGCGGATCTGATCCACACGTTCTTGAACCGCAGCCTCCCTCCGGTTGCCATCGCCGCCCTCCTCTTCGTCCTCCCGCCCTACCTCTTCCTCAAGCTCCTCCTCTTCGCCTTCTGCTCCGCCTTCAGCAAGGACGTTGCCGGCAAAGTCGTCCTCATCACCGGAGCTTCCTCCGGCATCGGGGAGGTTTGTCTCTTCTCTTGGCCCTCTCGTTTCGAGTTTTTCCTTTTTCTTTCGTGCCGTCATTTCTTATGCAAAATCAACTCCCCATGTCTAGAACCGTTTCTGAGTGGGGGCAAACTTAATAGTTAATGATATATGTTTTTGTGAATCTTACTAATCTAAGTAAATACTTTTAAGGCTTTTTGCATTTAAAATATGTTCAATAATAAATGGAATTTGTATGTGAACTAATTAATTCTTTATAACCACACGACTGCCTATTATTATTCCTAATTATGGGGGGCAAAAATTAAGGATAATGTGGCATAATAGCTTCTCTTGTATTTTTTTCTTAATTCTTCTCGGGTAAAATTGAAAATATTAAAAAACTAAAGAAATATTAGTAGGTCATCAAAAAGTGAGTGGGGCAATTGTTCCCACATCTCGTGTGAGTCATCCCAACCCTCAGATCGCGTGGATCTAGGATTTCTATATCTCGCCACCCTGCGAAAAATTTGTGCATCTCGGCCCTTTAATACAAGAGAGATGCTATGCATATTGTGATTAGCTTACCGAATTGGTATAAATGAAGTGATTCAGTAATGTGACGGATTGTTATTGCATTTAAGAGTATGCGCTATTTGGTTAAATGTCCATGTGTAGACTTATTGCATCACTTAGTATATCAATCTTAAGAGTAACTTTTAGCATACCTTGAGTCCCGCATCTGCTACTAATGCTCTGTTACTTAATCTCGTGAATTGAGTACCTTGCATACGAGTATGCGAGGAGAGGGGCATGCTTGGCGCTGGTTGCGAGAAGGGAGAACCGCTTGAATGATGTGGCCGACATGGCTTATCAATTGGGCTCTCCTGATGTGGTCGTCATCCAAGGAGATGTGTCCAGGGCCGAAGATTGCGAGAGGTTCGTCGATCGAATGATTGACCATTTTGGCCACCGTAAGCACGTCGCTTTTTACAGTATCTTTTCGTTGATAATAATATGTTGATCATTGGGTCGACACTAGCCTGGTGACTAATGCCGGGATAGCTCCCATGCGCATGTTTGAAGACTGCCCCGACATCACTAAGCTCGCCCCTGCAATGGTATAAGTTATATCCGATATAAGTCCATCAATTGATCTCCTTTTCTGATTGAATTGCACTGAAGTGAAGACATTTTCAACCATTGATCCTGCAATACATAGCTCAAATTTTTCTTCGGACAAAAAGAAGATTGGGAATTGGGAAGTTAAATCTGATAAGCTTGCCTTTGATGCGTGACATGTAAAGGACATCAATTTCTGGGGTTCGGTGTGTAGCATCTTCTTTGCTCTACCCTATCTGAAGAGAAGCAGAGGAAAGATTGTAGGGATAGCTTCGGCAGCTGGGTGGCTTCCGGCCCCAAGAATGTCCTGTCTACAATGTAAGTCCATTGACTTATTAGGACGGCAAGATCACTTCACGTGCATTCCTCAGTCAGTTGAATTATAATTGTTAAGATATTGCCATTTCCTATCACTTATCACTTGTTTGCTTTAACGCTTGAATCATCGCCACTGCCTGCTTGTTGATTTGGTTTTGGAATTTCTTTACTATCGACAACGAGAAAGGTAATGTCTCCTTACTGGTTGCTTAACTCTTGACACTGAACGCAAATAGCTCTGTGAAAGTTGGGAATTCATTAGGAAGGTTGTGATTTTCATTGTCCTAATCTAGTGGATCTCCTCAGGCAAGCAAGGCGGCCCTAATAAGCTTCTACGAGACATTGAGGACAGAATTGGGATCGGAGATTACCATAACCATTGTGACTCCAGGCTTGATTGAATCGGAAATGACTCGAGGGAAGTTCCTTTCGAAAGAAGGTCGCATAGTTTTGGATCCTCAAATGAGAGATGAAAGGTTTTTCCGGGTACAATCATAGAGTATGATATCATCTAAGATATTCATGCAGTTTCTATCAGAATCTCGCCTAAGCGGGACTAGCATGGGACAAGCTTTTGCCGTCTCATGAAATCAATTTGATTCGATTAATCCAAGTGCAATCACTCCGTCGTTATTATGTGCGCCAACTGCTCAAAATGGTTAATGTTAGTGGGTATTCATGCTATTTTCTTAGGTACAAGTGGGGGTGATGCCGATAAGGTCAGTGGAAGCGGCAGCGGAGGAAATAGTGAAAGGGGCATGCCGTGGAGACAACTACTTGGCGGAACCGGCGTGGGTGAAGTCGACCTTCTACGGGAAGGCGTTTTGCCCCGAGGTACTGGAATGGTGCAATCGGTTGCTGTTGGTGGCCGGAACTGAGATCTCAGAGTGGAATGCACTCAACCTCAAACTGTTGGAGCTAACTGGGTTAAAGCAATTCCTCTATCCTACGTCTGTTCACTTTCCGAACTTCACCGAAACAAGTCGCTAGACCAGGTCATTTGCCCATGTCATCCAACAACGTGGACAAGACCAGGTGTTTAAAAAGCAGACAAAGTCGACTCATGTATGGGAGCGCAGTGATCTTGGTCATGACTGACTTGTAATAGCTTAGCTGTGCGTGGACAACAAATAAACGTGCCTTTACTCTGGAGAAAAAAGCCTATGTACTGTTAGGGAAAAGTCAAGCAATCGAGAAGTAAGAATTGAATCAGACTTTTGACTCTTGGAATTATTTGCCCCGGCAAAAATTTTCCAACAAAATCCCAATGAGAATATCAAATAGCAATTTTGGTATTTTTTCAAGAACTCTTAAAAGGAAATAATCAATGGCTATACTTTTTTTTAGAAAGAAAATTTGATTAAGAATTTTTATGAGATCGAAAACGAATTTATATCAGCCTTAAGAAAAGAAAAAAACCTTGACGAATTTATATCAGTCTTTAGAACCGAAGCAACCCTTCAGAAAAGGTTGCAAAGTGAACAGATACTTTCTCAAAAGATAGTTGAAATTTCGGATTAAAAATAATATTATATAATTATAATTTTTTATTTTTTCGAATTTTATAAATTTTGAGAAATAATCATTGAACAAATACAACCTTTCGAAAATTAAGAAGTTAGGTCCGAAAAGACACAACCTTCAAAAGGTTGTTCTTTTCGAAGTTATGTTCGACCTTCTAAAGATTGTAAGAGCGCCTAATAACCGTTAGGCAAAAATAACAAAATTCGGAAGTAAATAATAAAAAATAACCGCAACTATTACGAACAGTCATGCTGTTTTAATAGGGCACAAATGTTATTTTATAATTATAAATTAGAATTTTAATAAATAAAAAATAATAAACGAGGATTAGTGCTAATATCGAACAACTTGCTATTAAGTGCGCCTAATATGTAGACATGACTAAGTGTTTAATAGGATATAGACGCAACTCATGTTTGTTAGTTCAGCATCTGGGTCATGTATACAAATCTTGGTTATGGCTATAATTGCTTACCTGTGCTTGGACAGCAAATACACGCACCCTTACTCCCGAAAAGCCTATGCACATTTGAAATCACAATCCTATGATAACTCATATTTCGTGAAGTTTATGCAATTGGCTATCCTCTGCTTTGCTCTGCATGGAATTAACCTTTGAGGAATGCCGAGGCACTGTCGTTTCTGACTTGATGACCCCAGGAGTCACTATTGTTATGCCCACGGAATCTTTAATCTTCCAATACCTTGTAGGAACTAATAACAGCGGCCTTGCTAGCTTGGACCAACCCCACAAGGTTCATGTGAGCTCAATGCACGTGAATCACATAGTTTTCAACTAGTAATTTTTTGGATAAGCTGTAGCTGAAGGAACGATAATTGGGAATGGCTAAGGAACTTAAAAGGAAATAAAGGGTGAATTTTGGGTGAAAATTGTCCAAAAAGTTTTCAACCTATTGCACTTTTTCCAATTCAATCATAAACCTAACCCTAAACCGGTACATCCGTGAATTGTCATGTGTCATCTAACTCAGCAAATTGATTATAAAATTTAACAGAAACTAACGGAGGTAAATTTATCACAGGTGTACCAATTTGAGATTTTAGGTGATTAAAAAATTAGTTTGAGTAAATTTGTCATAGGTGTATCAGTTTAGGGTATTTGGTGGTATTAACTAAAAAAAAAAATCGGCATGTAAACTTCCCTTCTCATGTAGTTATTTAACAAGTTCCCGGGTGGTATTTGGGATTAGAATATTGTTGCTGATGTTGTTATTTTCATTATCACTATTGACATGGTTGGATCATGTCGATTAGTTGAACATTACATATAAGACTTTCAAAAGTGAGAATTTCACGTATTTCATTACTCAGCAAATGTTGAGAGGACACCCTTAACCAAAATATCAATTTTATAACCATACTTTTTGCTAAATTTATCAAATAGCACATGAATATGTGAGGAGAGGGGCCAGATCGCGATAGCCTTAAGACAGTATATGATGAGAGTTAGAGAAAGAAGCATCAATGACTGATATACATAGCACGAACAAATGTACACAGAGGAGCTCTCCATATGTCTACTTTATTTGATAATTAATATTCGTCTTCAGTATATCAAAGCTAAACCCTTTCGTCTGATTGAGTTTCTTGCCAAATCACGAGGAAGAACACCATTAATTACTTTGGGGCAGAGTGGGGGAGTGATGCATCCATAGAAGAAATAGCATCACTCCGGCTTGTAACGGTCTGTGATCTGTCCAAGTTTCTTGAGAACATGCCCTCTCATAATCCTGTCGTAAAGAAAAGCCGCACCTTTATAGTGGGGAACAACCAGCCACAGCATGAACAGTAGCTTCGCGTCATACCATATTGGTATCCTAAATAACGACATCGGCATGCACGTGCCAGACACGACCATGATCAATTAGCCCTTGTAATATCAGTGATCACAGCATTGGAAAAGCATGTATCAAATGATGCGGAAATAAAATGAAGAGAAGGGTACCATTGCAAAAGGGGCTGGAGTAACATCTCCATGAGGGTGAGAAACGAGTACAAGATCCAGTAAGCGAGCCATTGCTCATTCTCTTCCACATTCATTGGTCTGCTCTCTATGGCCATTACTGATGCTTGTCTGCAATTCATTTTCCACACCCACGTATGTTTGTAAGTAGTCAATAGTTTCATGCTTTGTCTATTAAAATAGATCATTTACATCTTTGATTCGTAGAGGATGTGGCAAAATCTGTATACTATAGGCGTGCCAAAAAAAGGGAAAAAAAAAAAAAACCCGCAACCCTGTCCAGACTGTGGAACCAGGGCCGCAGCCGGGCTCCCGGGCCTTTCCTTTTAATTGATAATTTGTTCAGGCCAGAAAAATGCCTAACCCAACTGAACATGACCCTATTATCCTAACCCACATTTGATAATTTTTGTCTTATTACTTCACTAATCAATTTTTGAATTCTGTAATGAGGTGCTTAGAATTGATTACTTTATACTAAGTAGCCTTGTTGATTCTTTTTTTTCTTTAAATCACGAAATAATCAAATAGTATAGAGAGGGACTTCCTTACAAAGGATACAGCAGCATGAGTACTGGCCTGAATGAATTTTTCCAACGATGCCAAGAAAAAACACAAGGAAGAAAGTCCGTGTCAGAGACAGTTGCCAAAGAAAAACAAGGAGAAAATCTGTAAATCATCAATGCAGATTGACACAAGTGAGGCGCGAGATTACCCTGCGAGTGCTCGGAAGTTTTTGTACGATGTCCACAGCTGACCCATTATATATGCTCTCTCTCTCTCTCTCTCTCTCTCTCTCTCTCTCTCTCCCTTCTTTCCTTCCTCTGTTTTGATGAACCTGACGAGGACAATTTTGGGGGTCAAGAAAACCAGAACGACGACAGAGATGTGGAGACATGGCTATGCATATATAGTGGGAGAGATTGGAATCGGATTCTGCCGTAATCGGGTGAACAAAAGTAACCCACGAAAGTGAATCAGTGCATGCACGGTGCATCATCGTCTTCTTGGAGAAACCACAGCTGCGGCTTTGTTCTTTCCTCAGGTCTCAAGCCTCCTCTCTCTCTCTCTCTCTCTCTCTCTCTCTCTCTCTCTCTCTCTCTCTCTCTCTCTGCCTTTGCTCTTTTCTCAAGTCTCCAACCTCAGGCAAGACTCATTTGGCTTCTATCCTCTCTATATGTTCACCGCCGCGTATGAGTAATTCATTTTATGGTTATCAGCTTATTTCTACAAAATTATAAATCATGATTTTACAGTACACGATGGTAGACATTAGGGGTGCGCAACACCGAACCGGTCAGTTCTGGGCAGTTCCAAGAGCGCCAATCCGGTTCCCAATTCCATAAAATTGGAACCGGTAACGGTCGGTACAGTTTCCGGTTCCAGGATGGGAACCGGACTGCTTGGATCAGATCTCTTTTTTTTAATATTTCCTAAAGAACAGCAATGTGTAAAATGTAAACCTAACAATCGGCTCTTTCCCTGTTCAACTCTCAATGTCTCACGCCTCCTCTTTTCCTCTCTTTCCCTCTTGGCTCCTCACAGTCACCCTCTTTCACTCTCGGCTCCTCACCAAAGGTGAAAGGACTGAATTTGTACTATATCAAAAGATTTAGCACTAAATAGGCATTACAAAAAAGGTTTAGAACTAAATAGGGACCAATGAAATAGGTTTAGAACTTTTCTGACACTTTCCTTGCAAAAGCCCAATATGCTCTCCACGATGTCAGTGCCGCCCACGACCTCCACGATGTGGGAGAGAAGGGCATTGGGGCTGTCCCGGGTTATGATGATGGGGGCTTTGTCTTTTTCTCCGCCCCCTTAGCCTCCTCGACACCTCTTTACCTTCTCCTACAGGAGCTTCTTTCCCATCAGCAGTGGGGGAAGTGGTGGTGGCGGAGGTGGGGGAGTAGTCGTCGCGATCCCGTTTCTAGCAGTGGCCAAAGTTGTTGTTGTTACTGAGGTTGTCATCCTCGGAGTTCTGGCGGTGGTGGTGGGATTGGAATTGGTGATGAGGAGTAAAGCGTTGAAGGTCTCGGCTGAAGAAAGGAAGTGGAAGAGGACGCCCATGTGCTGTTACTAGATCCATTTCTTTTACTGGCTTTGCTTGCGGTATCTCTTTTGCGTGTGCTCAAAATACCACTTGATGAATTATTACGCTTTTCCACACAAAAAATTTAGAACCCAAAACTACCTTGTATCTTTTCTCGTCGTCAATTCTTGCTTGAGAGCTGCTGGTGGGGATGAGCTTCACTAGAGAGAGCTTTCTTGAGGATGAATCACACTACACCCACCAAATCTTGAGCTAAACTGAAGTGTCCTTTGAGTGAGATTGTAGAGTGGTGGTGATGGGGTTTGCTGGTACTCCACTGGTTCCATTAGACCGCCCGGGAACCGGTTCAGTCGGTCTGGTCTGGTCCGGTTTTCGATTCCAAAAATTGGGAACCAGTCCTTCTGGTCCAGTTCATGGTTCCTGGGTGAGATTGGACCGGACCAAAAACCGATCATCCCTAGTGGACATGAACTGTAGGTTCTATCTTGGTCATGGTCAGAAGAAGTCAATAAGCTTTTTGTTGGGCCCTTTTATTGCAGATGCCGAAGGATAAAAGCTCATCGTGGACTAGCCCAGAAGGCTCATTATAAGACTAAGCAAACATAGAAATTGGCCCAATTCCAAGTCATCAAGTCAACCCCTTGCAATCTTTAGATTCATACGAGCAATCGAGTGCTGACCCATTTCGGATAGTCCACGTTAAGTCTGCGAACCACCTGTCCTTAGGGCCCGACCGAAAGAACGACGAGGAGAACAACACATGTTTATGTCCACACATAGAGGCCAAAAAAAGGAAAAGAATCGAGACCCTAGCTAATGAATAATCTATATAGGACTAACTTTTGCCTCGTGTATCATCTTTTTGGTTGTACGGTTCGCGAGTGCCAAGACACGGGAAGAACCATGTGATGCCTCCAATTTCATGCCTTCCCGTTCAACAACAGTCCATGTGGGCATCTCCCTTCCCATCCTCCGATTCATCCGCTCATCATATACAATTATTGTCAACAATAGTTTGGAGAAGGACTTTGACCAGAACATCCCGTCAAAGACCGGCATCGACGCATGGCAAGGAAAGAGGAATTCCCATTTGAAATAATGAGAAAGCAAGCGAGCGATTTGGTTCCTTAAAAAAAGAGGATATAGAAGGAAGGGAACAAGGAAAAGTAGGAGCATAAGAGCATGATCATTGGGCATACAGAGTCGTCAATCCCCCAACTAAATCCCGATCTGTCATTCTCAATTCTCGACCGTAGCTTGGGATCCCATGTGACTCGAAATGATTGAGTGAGAATGTACAACTCCTCTCTCAACGGCAGTATGAACTAATTCAAAAAACAAATTGAAATGGGGAGCAAAAAGAAACGTGTGCAGTCTTTTTTCGAATTTGTTATCATCTGTGTAACGATGTAGTATTATACTCCATCACTTTCTACTGCAGTGTTTCTATATAGACTCGATGATAACACATACCCCAGATAGGCAAAAATACCTTTTTCATTCCTTTGCCTTTGGAAATTGTAAAATAAATCACTTCAAATAAGATCAAACATGGATGGTACCGTCCCTCTCATTCAAAATACGACGAAGTATCCCCGCATCGCTTAACTGTGCAGTTTAATATACTGTTCATGCACATGCGATTTCTCTCCACCTATCAGTTTCATTGTGTCGTACTCCTCATCAGTTTTGCCCCAAAGCATCGATTGTACGCCCTCCGCAATTCTCTCGCTCAAGTCATTTGTACCCATAATTCACTCTCGACAAGGTCAATCCCATCAAGCTAAATCCGTGCTGCACTTTGGACAAGGACTCAACTTCATAATGCAGGTCCGAGGACAGCTGGTAAGGAACTACCCCAAAAATCCAAATCCTCATTTCCCATTCTTTTCGTTACGATTGACGTTACACGAACCGGATTGCGTCTGCGCATGCATACAAAGAATGCAATTCACGAAACAGAAGGCGGGGTACGAAGATGCTAAATTTAGGATGGTGGGCTTTGGTATGCCTGACAAAATTCGTAATCAGTGTCACCACGTGACGCCCCACCACCGCCAGATCCCCCTAGAATCCACCCATCCTGACTCAGCTTCATCATATTTTTATCTTCACTTAAGTTGAGAGTCCAAGAACACGTTCCCCCGAGGAGCTCAGAACGATTCCAATATAAATAAAAAAGAGACCATCACACAAACGATCCCTGAATTTTGGCTCAATATGCAACGTAATTCATGAACTTTTAATTTGTTCAATGTGATTCGTGAACTTTAGTCCAATGTGCAGTGCAATCTCTAAACTTTCGATTTGTTTAACGTGATCCCTAGACTTTTGGTTTCTGTTCAAATTAGTCATTGAACCATATGAAAATGTTCAATATTGTCCATGAACTTGAATTACTGGAATAGCAACGTTGAGCATTTGCATACGGTACAGTAGGGGTGTGCAACCGGACCGTGGTTTACCTGGAAATCGGACCGGTTCACTCGAAAAATAGGTGCAGGAATCGATTCCCGCTTGAACCAGTTCGGGAACCGGTTCCATTTTTTGAGAACCGGTTAGAACTGGTCCGATTTCCGATTCCAAGTGAAAACCCACCCGGACCAGTTTTAGAACCTGTTTTATATGGAGGTCCACTTGCAATTTTATATGGTCAGAATTCAAAGCATTATATCAGGAAAGATGAGGGAAATGATCATTATTTGCGGATAGTTTAACTTAAGGGCTTGTAAGTATTATGGGGAGCAATAACCTTTTTCTTAAAATTTTTGTTCTATAACGAAAAAACTATATATCCAACTGGAATCTATGCTGTTTTATCACGTCCATTAAGTTATTGAGACTAAGATAATATGCTTTTGTATGAATACTTAAGATTATTTGCACAGTCAAACTTATAATCTTTTATTTGAGTTATAAGTTTTCCTATTTGCTACCTGGAAAAAATGAAACAAAAAAAAAATGGGTTCTTGAGTAGATCCTAGAACCGGTCCGAAAAAACGGGGTAGGTTCCAAAACAGGGTTTAGGGCAAACAAGATAGGTTTCCGGTTCCAAAAACTGGGAATCGGTTATAACAGGGTCGGTTTCAGGTTTCAAGTCTAGAACCAACCCACCCTGGAATCGATTATCCCTACGGTATAGGGACTAATTTGAACATGTACGAAAAATCTAGGGATTATATTGAACAAATCGAAAGTTCAGGGATCACACTACATATTGAATTAAAGTTTAGGGATCATATTTAATAAATTAAAAGTTTAGCGATAGTATTATATGTTAGACCAAACTCCAAAGACTGCTCATGTCATTTTCCCAAATGAAAATTCCGCTCTCGGAGAAAGCGACATAAGCTCCAACACAAAGGAGAGGCGCATCAACTCGTTCAACAAGCCGTACTTCAGCCAGCCCTGTGTCCCTGGGCAACGTGTCCCGCTCGCAGTCTTTTTTTCGGACAGAAGAAATGCCCCACCAGGAGTAATAATAAAGAGCACTGGATCCTCATCATCTCTCCCTTTCTCCAGGATCGTTTCGTTCATCTTCATCTTTGCCGCTCGTTGCGACCAATGCACGAAGAGAGTACGACGTCGGAAATTGGGGGATGACGATGTACGAAACGAAATCTGATAAATACGATGGAGGCCCGCCATCACGTGGGGCTCGAGTCCTCAAGCAAGATCTCGGGGGATGGGTCCGTTTCGTCCACCCCTATCATTTCGCAATCAGAAGAATGAGAAATGATTAAGTCATAATTTATAAT